ACAGTTTCCCGAAAAGTGTAAAGTGTGCTCATTCAGCTACTACGTAGAACATACCTATACAACACAATGTATGATATGATTTTTGGTTTCAGCAACCTTGGGGTCCAAATGAACCCTAAAATTGGTGTCATATAGTCTATGCTATTGCAGAAGTGCTATGAAGGTATATGGACCAAACACCCTTTTAGGCTTCGTTTAGTCCAAGGAAAATGCTAGTACATACAGACAAAGAGCATACTCATCTAATCTATACATACATGTATGTATGTAATGTATGTATGTAGCTGTGGAGCCAATACCTGGCTCGAAACTCCAAGCCGGATACTCGCCAAGTGATAACATGAGAGGACAGAAAGGATTCAGGGCTCTTGCCAGCGCTGAACCACCCCGGAATTCGGAGTTTACAGGCTACTTGTGCCCCCCCCCCCCCCTCCGCGCCCCTAGGAAAAAAAAAACATTAAAGCCTAAACCCGAAACCCTAAACCCTCGTCAGTGAACCCCTCAGCCAAAGCCTAAACCCTGAACCCAAAACCCTAAACCCTAAGCCCTAAGCCCTAAACCCTCAGCCCCTCAGCCAACACCAGAGCCCAGGATCCGCTGCTGCTGTCGGCCACGAGCTTCGCCGCAATGCTGCTGCACTTCCAGGACTGCGAGGGGCTGGGACGGTTTAGGGTTTAGGGGTTTAGGGTTTGGGGGTTTAGGGTTTAGGGATTTAGGGTTTAGCGGTTTAGACTGCGAGGACCTGGGCAAGTACAAAGGGCCGCGACCCCGGTTCAGGGTTTTGGGGGCTAGGGGTGTAGAGTTAGGGGGTTTAGGGGTTTTAGGGTTTGCGGGTTTGTGGGGTTGTGGGTTTGTGGGTTTGTGGGTTTGGGTTTGTGGGCTTGTGGGCTTGTCGGCTTGTGGGTTTGTGGGCTTGTGGGTTTGTGGGATTGTGGGTTTGTGGGTTTGTGGGTGTTAAACCCTGAACGCTAAACCCTACCCTGAACCCTACAGCGGATAACCTTGGGCTTTAGGGGCTACATAGCCAGTGAAGAGCACAGAAAAGAAAGGTGCAAAGGCTTCAATAGAACTCTTCAGCCCCTTTTGATCCAGGACCGCTGAGGCTCGCCCTAAGCCCTAACCCCCCCCCCCTCCCGGTCAGGGTTTATGGTTTAGGGTTATGGCTTAGGGTTTAGAGCTTCGACTTCTGTAGCTCTGCAAAAATAGCCAAGGCCTGGGGAATGCTTAGGGGTTATGAACCCTAAAGCAATTGGAGACCTAAACCCTAAACCGAGCCCCGCAGGTCTAGAGTTTAGGGTTTAGTGTATCAGCTGCCCTCAGGGGTGCGTTTTCCTCAGGGATTGGCGTTTGCTAGGCTGTGAGAGTTCAGGGCGGATATTTACCCTAAGGCCCCATCGAGGCCAACGAATTCGATCCTGCGTATAAACGACTTTGGACAACGTACAACCCCCTCTCAAACCCTGAAACCCTGAAACCCTCGAGCCCTCAAACACCTGAACCCTAAACCCGAAAGCCTCGGATGCTGATCCCTGTAAACCCGAAGCCCTGAAAGTCTCCAACCCTCTGCACGGTGTACGGTGTCGGGTTTACTAGATCCAAGAGAAACCTAGGAAAGAAAGGAGTGTTTGAGGTGTAGGGTTGAGGATTTAGGGAGACACAAGGCAAGCTGGGAATGAACAGGGTGGCCGTTTGTGTTTCAAGGGGCTTCTACGGGAACCTAACCCCTCCCCCCCCCCAAAAAAAAAAAAACATAAATAAACGGAACAAGGGCCTACTCTGGGTCCTTGTGTATGGGTTGGGTTAGTTAGGGCCTACACACACGGTTTAGGGTGTAAAGTTGAAAGGTTGAGGATCCAGGCCCTGCAAAACAGCAGCACCCGTCTGCTTCGGATTTAGGGTTTAGCGTTTAGGGATGTAGGGTTAGGGTGTTGGGTTTGAAGCACGGAACAACTAGGATATGCTGAGGGAATCAAGACAAAAAAACAAGCCATTCCACTCTGAAAGGTGAAACTGCACCTATGATTACGAAAGCCCTAAACCCTAAATCGTGAACCCTAAACCCTAAACCCTAAACCCTGAACGCTGAACCCTGAAGCCTAATGCAGAGAGGGAGCTGCTGCCAAGTTCAGCAAGAGGAGAGCTGCCTCGCAGATGAGGATACCTGAGGCAGCTCCAGGCGATGTACAAACCACGGCTTGGGTTTAGGGTTTAGGGTTTAGGGTTTAGGGTTTAGGGTTTAGGGTTTAGGGTTTAGGGTTTAGGGTTTAGGGTTTAGGGTTTAGGGTTTAGGGTTTAGGGTTTAGGGTCTAGGGTCGTTAGGGTCTAGGGTTTGATACAAAGGTTCAAGAAGTTCAGTCGACTGAGGCATCCGTACCTTGATGCACTTCATCTTGAGCCGCTGCTGATGCGACTGATATCATCCCTTCACGCTCAGCCCGGGGTTTAGGGTTTGGGGTTTAGGGCTTAGGGTTTAGGGTGTAGGGGGCTTGTTTGTCCGCCAGCCTGTACGCAAGATAGTGCAGACTGGAAACAGAGGTCGCACCCTACACCGTAAACCCTAAACCAGGCCCTAAACCCTTGAAAACCCCTTGCCTTTCATCCCTGCATCATCCCAAGAACCCTGCCAAGCCCTCTGGGGTTTAGTGATTAGGGTTCAGGGCAACATCCACCCTGTGTCATAGTTCCAGACACCCTGCGTGCCTCTTTGCAACGTGCTAATAAGTCCTGTTCTTAGACGTACCCGTTCGACCCTAAACCCTAAACCCCAAAACCTAAACCCTGAACCCTTGAGGCTCCCTCAATTTTCCAGTCGCTGCTTATTCGGGGCAGTCCTCATCAACTGTAGCTCTTTCGCATCTGGGCGGTAGATTCAGCACACCCTCTTGCATCCGGGCTTGGGGAGTCGGCCGGGAATAGAACACCCTAAGCCCTAAACTAAACCCCTAACACCACCGCAACCGGATGATGTGCCATTTGATAAAGATTGGGCCTGAAACCCCAAAGTAAAAACAGACGAAGCATTCAACCTCGATACCATCCCCAAAAAAAAGGAAACCAAAAAAGACCCAAGAGGAACCTAGGAAGAAACAGGGGAATGAAAAGGGCGCCCTGGTATTTTAACGGGGCTTCTAAGGGAACCTAAACCCCCGAAACAACGGAACAGGTGCCTACTCTGGGCCCTAGGAGAACTCTTCAACCGTGAACCCTCATTAACCTCCAAAACCACAACCTGAACTCGAACGAATTTGAATTTGCCAAAAACGAGAGACACCCACCCGACACACCCACACACCCACCGGCGCGCGCACACACACACACACACACGCACGCACGCACGCACGCACGCACGCACGCACGCACGCACCCACCCACCCACCCACCCACCCACCCACCCACGCACACACGCACACACGCACACACGCACACACGCACACACGCACACACGCACACACGCACACACGCACACACGCACACACACACACGCACACACGCACACACGCACACACGCACACACGCACACACGCACCCACGCACGCACACGCACGCACACCCGCACACCCGCACACCCGCACACGCACACACCCACACACCCACACACCCACACACCCACACACCCACACACCCACACACAAACGCACGCGCGCGCACGCACCGCGCGCACGCGCACGAGCACGCCGCCTCACGCGCACACGCACCCACACGCGCACGCACACGCACACACCCAAGCACACACGCACCCACCGGCGCACGCAGCACACGCGCACACACGCGCACACACCCACGCACACGCACACGCGCCACACGCACACGCGCACACACACCACGCGCACACACGCGCACGCACACGCGCACACACGCGCACACACGCACACACGCACACGCACACACGCACACACGCACACACGCACACACGCACACACGCACACACGCACACACGCACACACGCACACACGCACACACGCACACACGCACACACGCACACACGCACACACGCACACACGCACACACGCACACACGCACACACGCCCACACGCCCACACGCGCACACGCGCACACGCGCACACGCGAGTCACGCGAGTCACACGCGCACACGCGCACACGCGCACACGCACACACTCACACACGCACACACGCACACACACACACACACACACACACACACACACACACACACACACACACACACACACACACACACACACACACACGCACACGCACACACGCACACACGCACACACGCACACACGCACATATGCGCACGTGCACACGCACACGAACATCCAAAAAAGCAATGGGACCCCTCGCTGCTTGTGTCTTGTCTAAGGCGCAGGCAGTTGCTGCTGCGCAGTTGAAGCCTTGGAGCTTTGTTGGGTGGGGATGGTGCGTGGGGATGGTGCGGTCAGCCTCAGGTGCCTGACAGACGTCGCCTGAGGTATGGTGCCAGGCTGATTTCACCATTTCCTGGCCGAGTGTTGGACTGGCACAAACGCAGCTCAGGCAGGTTATCATCAGCAGTGCTTCCAGCATTCACAGCGCGATTGTCACAGTCATGTCTGTGACTGTGCACCCAGGAAAGGAGGTCTGGAATCCGGAGGAGGCCTTGTGAAAGCAAAACCAGAGTCTCTGCCTGTGAAATGTTAAGATCTTGGAATCTTGACTCGCGGAAGCTAGCGAGGATCCAGGCGTCGTGGCGGTCGAGAGGATGTGACCTACTAGACTTGATGAGGTCAAGAGGCTTGTTGACCGGAAGTGACTGCTTGGTTGGCGAGTCAGCTGCTGTCAAGACCAAGTTTCGCCGCGCTGCCGGCCATCTCAAGAAGAGGAGGGGGGATGTTCACAGCATCTCGTCGCAGCAGGCAGGAGGTACTAAAGCGCATCACTCTTCACAGCAACCCAAGTCAAAAATGCACGAGCCATGAGTGAAGCTGCACCTCGGTACATGCACAATCACTGCAACTCTGTGACGCCGTGGGACCACAGTCAAGCGGCGACTTGCTGGTATGAGCAACTTGGCCAGCAAATCCCAGCATGGTCCTTGAGTGTAAGATGCAGGTGCAGGTTCAGGGAAGGGCCAGTGACCAGTGGTGTTCTGAGGACGTGGCAGCACATGGCTTGGCCTGCTGCTAGTAGTCCTTGCTGCTTGGAGAGCATTATGAGCACGTACTCATTCCTGATATGGTCCTGGTTGGCCAAGCTTGTCAGGTGGCCTACAGCACATGCAACGGATGGTCGACGAGCTTTGCTAACGCAACATCCTTGCCCAAGCTGCCGAATGTGCGCACACCCCGTGTTCGGGCACAGGAGCGGGGCTGTATTTGTGGTACTGTCCTGTGTCATTCGTAGACCTCCTGGGGCGGGGAGTTGAAGTGATGCGTTCAGACGATTCAATCTTTAAAATGCTTGGGATGCCTGATTAACATCATATGAAGCTGGACACAACAAGTACGAAGACAGCATGTCTCCGCTAGTTCTCCACCCAAGCGACTGCGCCGGGCAGACGCAACTTGCTGCAGCTCCTTCGCAGCGAGTTGCCTATGCGGCTGTTGTCCAGGCGACGGCTGCTGGAGTTGTCCCCTTTCTTTCCATCACGAAGGGCTCATGGCTCGCGTGTGCAGGTGCAAGTCAAGGAGGGTGAGGAAGAGAAGTTCCTGGAGGCCACGCTGTGCCCACGCCCTCGCAATGCAGATTGCCAGGCAAGGACACCACGAATCCAATTGTCTCGCATAGGCCTCTCTACAGAACGCGCGAAGCTCCAAGGGCGAACCCTTGAATCAGCGATTCGATGTTCTTCAGCAGCGAGCCTTCGAGATTGATCATCGATCTTGACGTACTTCCAACTTTGTTTCGAATGTGTTGATTGGTTGTTCCTGGCCTGGCCTTGTTATACCATGCACTGCAGTACCTTCTACATTGCGCAATGCTGTACGGAAGTGCTGCCTGCGACTATTGCTCACCCTGCCTCTCACTTCTCTCCAGCCGGCTGCCCAGGAGATTCGCCCAGCAACTTTGCACTGGTCGAGATCTATAGGACGCCACGCACCCACACGGAATCGCGCATTGCAGCACTCCTTGCCACAACGATCTGAGAAACAGGAACGCAGATGGGCCAACAGGACACAAGGAGACACCGCATTATCAGCAATGGCGTGACGAGGTCGCGGACATGATGGCGGTGCCCAGGACACCGTGCAATAACGAGCGGCGTGCAAAACTGGGTCTATCTGATTGTTGCAGGACGGCGGTCCAGTATGACACCGTCTTCCCGGGCAAGGACGCCCTGGGCAGATGCGCTTGACTCCTGATTTGTGACCGTGTGGAGCATTCTCGATTGTCGCCCGCCCTCAAGTCTTGATATTGTTCGGCCCTTGCTACTTCCTGATTTGTATTGTCTTTAACGTGTGCTACAGTAAGACGAGGCACTGTCAAAATCATTGTTGCTTCTCTTCTACGGCGACCGCCGACGACTGCTACTGCTACTGCTACTACTGCTGCTGCTGCTGCTGCTACTGAAGCTGCTGCTACTACTACTGCTGCTACTACTACAAAGCTGTAGTATTACTACACTCCTACTCCTACTCCTACTCCTACTCCTACTGCTTGTACTACTACTACCACTACTACTACTACCACTACCACTACTACTACTACTACTACTACTACTACTGCTGCTGCTGCTACTACTACTACTACTTCTACTACTACTACTACTACTACTACTACTACTACTACTACTACTACTACTACTACTACTACTACTACTACTATTACGACTACTGCTGCTACTACTACTACTACTACGACGACAACAAAGGAGAGATACTTTAATTGTGGACTACTACGACGACAACAAAGGAGAGATACTTTAATTGTGGTTTTCCTCCTTTGACGTGCTTAAACGCATGGGTCTTTGCTACTTTCCATTGCGCACACTTGTGGTTTTCCTTCTTTGACGTGCTTTAACGAATGGGATTTTGCTGATACTTTCCACACTTTCTTGGGGGAGTGACTGTTTTCTTGCACATATCCATGTTTGCCACACTGGAGTTTGCAAACTATTCGACTTTCATCGACTTGGGATGAGGTTTTGGGTTCAGGGTTCTGAGCTCAGGATTGTTGGGCTTGCATAATGTTTTGGGAATGAGGTTTCTGCTTTCTGACAGCTTTGGACTTGCTATGAGGGCCTTGGATTTCCCACGAGGGTCTTGGATTTCCCATGAGGGCCTCGGATTTCCCATGAGGGCCTTGCGCGAATAACTTATGATTAAAATTGGTTTTGGCTTGGCTTGGCTTGGGGGGGGGGGGGTGCTTGGGGCTGGTGGGGGAGGGGGGGGGCGAACAGTCCACTTTCAGATCGTGGTCGCCTACGGGGGGTACCCATTCCGGGGAGGATTTGGGGGTGCCTGTTCTCACAACCAAAACACCTTTGGCCCGAGGCCTCGACAGATATCACACTCAGATCTACACGCAACAATTGTGACGATGATGGCAACCTCTTGTCTACCAGACTTATATCATCCCTAAGCAACCGCAACTTGTGAGAACTTGCGGCAGGTTTCCGATTACCATCCGGCAACGCTGATGCTCCAGAGGGCTCAGGTGCATGGAGAGCGGCACAGTTGACACCTGTGCCACGCTGGCCCTGTCAGACCCTGTCAGGGCGCAGCAGATGTGGACGTTACGCATGTCATTGTCAAGGTGAAGCCTGGAGCTGAGGAGGCGAGGGCATGCGAGGGCATGCGAGGGCATGCGAGGGTGCGAGGCGTGCCCATATTTGGGCTCTTGGGGCTCATTGTCTCAGTGGGGGAGAGACAAGCGCGCTTGCGCTGAAGCAGGCATTCAAGAAGGCCACTCGTGCCAATGCCTTGGAGTCTGTCAGCTTCTTAGACGCAGTGGAAAGTGCACACGACCGCTGTATTTGGATTTTGGGTTCAGCCGTGTGTGGGATGTTAGCAGGTCAAGGAGTATGGCAATCTGCGATTCGATGTGCTCCAAAGCGTGGACGACCCGACCAACTTCCTGTTGATTGAGGTGTACAGGACTGCAGCACTGTGTCTTTGAGTAACCGACCTCTCCCCCAAGCCCTGGCGCAAGGACGGCAGCAGACGCCGTGAAACACAAGAGCACGCAGCATTACCTTGAATGGAGGTGTGAGATCTTAAGCCTGGCCTCGTGGGCCTCCTGAGTCAACGTTGAAGAGTAGCTGCTGCAGGTCCGTTGTGTCATTCATGATGGCTGAGCCGCGGGAAGGCAAGAAATATGTGGGCAGCTTGAGATGACGACCAGGGGTGAGTGAAAAGACTTGGGAACAGTTTCGGGGTTGTTTGAGCGGAAGGACTTGAAGATGCGGACGTGTTGAGGTCACGCACTTTCCCAATGTGCCCGCCGCCTGGAAGGTGGCAGAGGGAGTCCGCAACTTATTCACCTAGCAAGACAGCCTGCTAAAGTCTAATTCCCTTCCGGCGCCTGCTAGGTTATTTGATCCTGAATCCTGGCACTCAGTGCTGAGTGCATCTGAGTGCGAGGGTTTGGCATGGTTGCTCTGTGCTGGCCCTGCAGCTGGCGAGTGCAACGCAATGTGCGACGAGAAAGTGGCTTGATCGTGTGCAGAAAGCAAGCCGCGAGTCAACCAATGTAACCATTCTCAGGCCAACTCCTGACACAACTGCAGCAGGTACGCCTACTACAAGCGGTATGGCCACGACACGATTTGCATGCCCGCCAGCTGGCGACCTTCCAGGTTCTTGGAAATCTGAGAATCTCCGCACCTCCAAACCGAATGCGTTCGGCCGAGCGGCCATGGCATGTCAGGGGCCCTGGCCACGATCTCGACGAGATCCAGGTCACCTGGCTGCTAATCGCGGTCATCTCATGACATCATGAAAGTGGGTCGACAGGTTTTGTTCGAGGAAACTCGCAAGTTTCGACAAGCCTTGTCTGTGACATTGGCACGAGTGCGCACACACGGACGGTTTGATGGCTTGTCTAGAGATACCAGGCTGTGTCTCCGACACTAGGACCTAGGACTCTAGCTGCTCTAGCTAGGCCCTCTGACATACTTCCATGTGGGTTGGGCTCAGCTAAACCTCCGGCTACACTCCCTGCTGCGCCACCCTGGGAGTTCCAATGTGCGTGGTGAGGCCGAGATGGCTCAACTCACAGCAGATGCGACTTAGACTTTAAATCCCAGCGTCTGGAGAAGGATGTGAGCCCTTCGTAGAAGCGCATGCGATCGCGGTCCAGGAGCCCAGTTTCGAGCACTGCCAGAGAGGAGGGAGATTCTGTGGGTTCAGCAGAGCTTGCGGCGGTGCCGAGTTTGTCCAACCAACGGCAGCTCGTGGTGCGGAAGCTTGAGGCGGCTCTGGAAGCAGCCTCAAAACGACAGAATGCTCAAAATCCAGCAGCTACAGTAGCTAAAGCATCCGCCCTCCGTCTAGCAGCCAGGATGGAAGCACTCCTTCACCAGAAACTGGATGGCCGCAGATACCTGAGCCAGGCCAGATCGCTTCTGTACAATCTCAAGGACGATTCCAACTTTGAGTTCAGCGAGAGTTTGCTCAGTGGCCAGCTTGACTTGCACAGACTTCCGGAAATCTCAGCAGAAGAGATGGCCAGCTCTAGTCGCAATGCACAGCGGGCGCAACTGAGACAGGAAGCCTTGGCAGAGACATCTCTACGACCCTCTGGGGTCGTTTCAACAGACAGGTTCCGTTGTGGAAGATGCCATGGCACGGAGACGACATATGTACAAAATTTCGCAGTTGAGAGCTGCGTGCGATCAGGCGGAGAGCCTGTTGAAACAACAGTTGCTTTTGTGACCTGCCTTGCTTGCCACCACACCTGGACAGAGCGCAGTGGATTTGCTTAGCAGCTTAGCTAGCTTTGGAAAAGAGGCTGCGCGGTGGGACGTGCCTTGCTCCCTCGTCTCTTTGCCCCGCTCCTCTCCTTTTCTCTGTCCACACACGCATACTGTTCGGATCCGACTAGCAATGTTGTGTGGCTGGTAGGAATGCGAAACGTTGCCGCAACATAATTAATTGGGCGGAACAATGCAAAGGCGCCCCCCCCTTCAAGTGTCAGCTTGAGCAAGCTCAGAGCAGAAACTAAGAACTCTGCTCTGCAAGAGGAGAAAGAGAGCCAAGCTTGAGTTTTAGCTTTCATTTTTACGGCTTAGCATTCTAGCGGTCTAGGTCAAGCTAAGGTTTTAAGGTTCAAAGTCCAGCCACCAAACGACCTTGACCCCACCCTAAAACTTTTTCCCAACTTGATTCAACCAAACACTAAATAAACTCTGGACTCAACCCCAAACCTGGCGGTGTAGTCCAGAGATGGGAGTCAGCAAGACCCAAGCCCCATCCCAAGGCCACACCGCAGGGCTTTCTGGAGATATGCATACCTATTTTACTATTTATGTGTGCCCATTGGCTTGCTGTTTTTGAATTATTTCGCCCTTTCCCGTCTTCATGTCTTTCTTCTCGCCCTTTCTCTCTCTCTCTCATGCTCTGCCACTCTCTCTTTCATTCTTTCTGTCCTTCTTACTTTCACTCTTTTTTTTGAGAGTCCTTCGGTTCTTGCCTGCTGTGCCCTGTCGCTCAAAGACTGCGCAATGGGGGGGGGCGACCGTGTATCCTGTATGTCATCCTGTGCTGCGAGAGGCATTGGCTGGAGTCGATAGAATGACGATTCCGCCGGCGCGTGCCTCTCAAAGGAGATGCAGGTAGCAAGTGGACTGAGCTTTTGCACCTTAGGTCATTTCTGTGGCACGCTGTGAATCAGCGGTCCGCACCCGACCCTAAGGTTTCTGAAGCAGCTTGCTGAGGACCATGGTGCCTTGGAGAGGACCTGAGACCTCAGCAACTTTCACCAGTGCAAAGATACCATGCTGTCAACAAATTCGAAGATTCCGTCCATCGGTTGTGGCGGGAAGCTTGCACTGACTGGGAGCGCCTCGCCGACATAAGTCCCACATATGTAGACATGTAGACGAACACGCCGGGCTTGTAGCCATAACGGCCCAAGAGCTGAATGCAATGCCTGCGGCACAGCTTCCCATCATACCAGCGCACCAGCGCTACCTTGCAGCTGATGGAAATCAGGGGCACATCGGTCAGCAGGTCTTAGCAGCAGCTTTCGAGCCGTGTCCTCAGTGACTTAATTTGTTTTGCTGAGTTGCGCTCTTGAACTGCAGAAGAGAGCTACGATTGTGCAAGTTTAAAGGCTCGTTGTTTTCTTCGCCTTCTAGTTTGTTTGTTCTTTCTTCGCTGGTCCTTCCGTACAGACGATAAATAGAGGCAGCCAGGACGTTTGGGCTTCATGGTTTGGCTTCTTGTCTCCTGTTCTGTTGGTTCCAGGCGCCAGGCTTGTTTCGGCTCCCTGACTTGGGGGCTTGTCGTCATGCCATGCGTTGATGTCCTGAGTTTTTAAGTTGGAGCCTTTTGCTGGTGCTACTTTACTAGACCAACCAGAGCTCCTTCCCTGCCTCCGTAGCCTTGGTCATGTACCAGGTGCCATGTGAGGGAGTAGTGTCTGTCCATGAGGTCCTTCTCGAGATCGCCGGCAGTTTCGCCGAGTGGCATTCCTGTTGACTCGGAGCTGCCGCTCACGGTGCCCCTGGAGCCACGAATAGTCACACAAGCTTTGCAAGAAGCAGGATCTATCAGACGGAAGTAGACAGAACATACAGTTGCAACATCCTGCACATTCTAGTGCCCAGGCAAATCGGCACCAAGCTTCAACGTGATGCCAAGTTGTTGAGTCCTTGTGGCCAGGTGAAGAACACGTTCATTGATGTGGAAGAAGAATCGCCTGATTCAATCCACTCACTTCATGAACGTGGAGCGAAGACGTGCACGGCGCGCATGTCGCCATCTGGAGGTTTTTTTGACGAGACGCATTATGGGGAGGACGCTGGGATCCACCATGTACAGACCAATTTTGCGAACCCAATGCTTGCACGATCGCGGTTGTAGTAATGACGGTTGCACTTGCTGCGATTATTCTTGCTGTTCTTGATGTTGTTCTTGTCGTTCTTCTTCTTGTTCCTGATGCTACTGCTGTGCTCTTTTATTTATTTTCATTTTTTGGTGTTCTTCTGCTGTTGCTTGGGTTGCCTCCAGTCATGAACCAACAGCTTTTGTTTTTTTGGCTGTTGCTGTTTTGATTGTAGCTTGTAGTTGTGGTTCGTTGTGGTTGTGGTTGGTTGTGGTCCGTTGCCGCGGGTCGTCTTTGTTGGGGTTCGTTCTGGTTTATTGCCGTTCGTTGTGTTAGTTGTGGTTTGATGTGGTTTGGTTTGGTTTGGTGTGGTTTGGTGTGATTTAGTGTGCTTTGGCGTGCTTTGGCGTGGTTTGGTGTGTTTTTTTGTTTTCTTGGTTGTTGTTCGTTAGTTTTGTTTGTTCAACACTAGTTGTTGTGTGCTGGTTGCTGTTTGTTGGTTGATTTTTGTGACTGTTGCTTGTTGGTTGTTTCTCTCTCTCCCTCTCTCTCTCTCTTTCGCGTTTTGTTGTGTGTGTGTGTGTGTGTGTGTGTGTCTGTCTGTCTGTCTGTCTTTCTTTCTGTCTGTCCGCCGTCTGTCTGTCTGTCTGTCTGTCTGTCCGTCGGTCTGTCTGTCTGCCTGTCTGTCTGTCTCTGTGTTTGTCTCTGTGTGTGTGTGTGTGTGTGTGTGTGTCTCGTTGTCGTTGTCTTTGTCGCTGTCGCTGTTGCCGTCGCTGTCGCTGTCGCCGGCGGCCGGGGTTGGGGTCGCGGTCGCGGCCGCCGTCGCCGTCGTCGCCGTCGTCGCCGTTGTCGCCGTCGTCGTCGTCGTCGTCGTGACGCCTGGCTTTCCTTGGCCTCTAGGGCCGAGGGGTCCGATGATTCCGAGGTCTGTTCCTGATCTGGGGCCACGTAAGGGGTAGGTCAGGAGCAGATGATCTGGGTACCGATCCTGCCAGCAAATGAGCAAGGAATCGTGCTGGTTGCTGCAGCCTCCAACTCCCGAAAGTACGTAACCAGTATACTTTATTCTGAAGTTTGTCATTTTATAATTTCGTAGTGCATGTTAAGGGTTTACTTCGGGCATTGCAGTTTGCTGTCATGTATGTACCACTCCTTGACGCTGAGCTTGCAGGTTTGTAGGTAATGAGGTAATTATCCGTAAGCCTACAGCTTGTAGCAGCCCTAAACCCTTACGTTGGTTGCTTCTACTTCCCGCGTTACCGGGCACTTTTGGCAAGTCGGCCCCCGCAGTGGAAATACTCTCTTCCGGAGGGGTTGGAGCCAACACATGTTTATGAACGATTATTCAGTAGGCCGTCGAATTGTTTCTTACTGTTACCATCCACACACGGCGAAAGGAAGTGCAGCGTGCGGAGCCGACCTCGATACCGCCAGACAAGCCGATCGATCCTAGACTCCAGGTTCCGGATGCAGATGCTGATGGCACAGGCATGGTAGGGATGGCTCGGGGGAGGAGACAAGGGGAAGCTTGTCCCTCGAGCTTTTGCAATGCTCCGACGCCTCCCAGGCAGCAGCCCGGTGAGTCCCAGCATGCCGCCGCCCTCGGAGTCGGCACCGACTTTCGACGAGGAGGAGGAGATACACATGCCGCCTCCGCCACAGATGCTAAGCTGATTTGAGCTGAGACGCTGCTTTCATGTGACAGACGTGGCAGGGTAGAATGGAGAAGCAGGCCCACGATGCATGCCGTGGACCGCGCGAATCAACTCAGGATGAGCCCTTCGCATTTCGGAAGGCAGTTGTTGGGCCTAGCGTTGACCGCTCCCGATGCTCTTCCCGAAGCTCCTTCAGAAGGGTCCAAGTTGCATGGGCTCTTTGACGAGGACAGTCTTTTAGGGGTTGCTGATACGTACACTTGCAAAGCACCCTCTTCCTTCAGTTGACCATTGCAGTGCAGGAGGGCCTGCCGGCATGCCAGCCCTGTGCACCTCGAATGAATTTGGAATTTGCTTGGGTCATAGTTCTCCTAACCCGATGGCAAACCGGCAAACCTCCTGATCGTGGCTGCGTGGGCAACCCAAGCTTTGTTCCACACCCTTCCAGTAGTTTCACTGAGCGAAAGGGGGGAAGGGTGTCGCCAGAGGCTTGGTTTCACAAGAAGCCCAGTGGCTGCATCAACGGCGCAGCATGCAAGCGCTGTCACCTTTGCCCAGAGGGGGAGCCAAAGCTCCGCAAGAAGCAGTGCCTTGACCCATGGGGGAGTGTCGGGGCTTCTGGTCAGCCTGCGAAAAGACGGGAAGCTTCTAACAAGCCTAAAACACAGGAAAGTTGCGCGGCTACGGCAACAGCAGGCGGAGGCTGCCAGCCGAGAGGCGGCACAGGCTGGCAATTGCAACCGAAAGCACCCTAGAGCTCGTTCATCGGTAGGCAGGTAGACTGCGAGATGCAAAGTAGCTTCTGGTCATGCCGGCATGCCCCGGCGGCCACATGTGAAAAAACAACAACATGCGACAACTTGTCGTTGCTCCTTTTATTGCTCTTTCCTGACAGACGGAGTCTCCAACTTCAAACAAGCCAGCAGATGCGACAAGAGGAGGACAAAGTGCAGAGTGTCATCGTGAGTCAGTAATCGTAAAATGTCATAGCAGCCGAAGCCATGCGAGGACCTCCGTCTCCTTCCCGTGGAGCTCCTGCGCCCCTTGGAGTCGGCGCAGTGGGTTCACAGCCGATCAGTCCTTCACAACCCGGTGCCATCGCCATGGGTGCGGTGAGTGGTCCTGGTCCTGGCGTAATGGCACTTCCTCAGTCACCGAGCGGTGTTGTTGCGGTCCCAGTTGGGCAGTTCCTCGACTCAGTAACCACAGAGGTGTTGACGCACGCAAGAGCAGTATCGCGGGACCCCACACACACAAACAAACACAGTGCAACCTGTAGACAAGCTTTTCTTTGCCGTTTTGCATTCAAAGCCCCTGTGTCCCCGAAATCCGAAGAGTAGACTGCGCCTCGTTGGCGAGAGATCGATGTTGGATAGAGCAGAGCAGTGCGATTCGGAACGCGTCTTAGTCCTAGGCTGTTGCTGAGAGGGGTGCTCCGGCAACAAGAGGGCGCTTGCTGTTGCACAGCAATCTGCCCTGAGTAAGCTTTGGCGACTGCATCCTTGACATCGCTAAGGGTTGGCGGGCTGCCGGCCCCTATGTATACAGTGCCAGTGGCACAATATCAGTTGCTGGCTGGCTCTGGGGCAGTACTTATGCCAGTGTCTGCGGCCGCTGTGCATCTTGCCAAATGTTTTCAAGTGCTAAGGTGCGTGGGCAGCGTAGCCATTATAAGTGCAGAACATCCGTCTTCGAATCCACGAAGCCGAGGTCGCAGCAGGTTGGAGCCCAGGTTCAGCAGATCCCTGTTCAGCAGCAGATTCCTGTTCAACAGATACCCGCCCAGCAGATCCCCACCCAGCTTCCCCAGCAGCTTCCCCAACAGCCTCCTGCTCAGCAGCCTCACCTTCAGCAGCCTGTGCAGATGCAATCCCAACAGATCCCTCACCAGATCCAAGCAACTCAGCCAGCAGCGTTACAGCAGCAGTTTCAGCCCCTCCAGCCTTTGCAGCCACTCCCTCAGCAGCTGTCTGTGCAGCAGATTCCTCTACAGCTTCCCATTGCTCAGCAGATGATTCTTCAGGGCAATGTTCAACAAGTCGCTGTCCCCGTTAACTTGCTCCTTGAATGCACTACGATACGAGATCAATGCGTCTTGGTGGGCAGCAGAACCTACATAAAGCAGCCAAGCGCAGTACTTGTAGGATGTCAGAAGTGTCAGCACACTGACATTTGGCCCGCAAAGACAGCTTCCATAGGCCAAAGGATTTTCACGTAAGTCTGAGGCAGACATCTGGCAAACTGGATATGCCTTCACAGCAGAACCAGAGCCAGAGTCAGCAGAGCCCAAGCCCACGCTGGGCTGACATCACGGACAGCTGAAGCACGCTGCACGATTGCTTCTATAATACTATGATATGATAGGCACCGAAGATGCTCAATTTTCAGAGGTTGAGCCCACTCCGTCCAGCTGTGCAGAAGAGGATATCACAAGATTAGGAAGCATGCGAGTATTGCAGTGTGAAGTTGATAGTAATCATGGAGCAGACGAGTCAAGCAGCTCCCTCTGGGAATGATCATGTTGGCACTGCGTGTCAACTGCTGTTGTCGGCCACAGATATTCTAAACGGCTGGATTCCGGTGCCCGGCGCGGCAAATGTCAGATTGGAGCAGGTGCAATTTATGGATGCACCTGTGCACTGTGCACCCGCAGCGGCATGCCACAGGAACGCCTTCTGATCTGTTCAATGTCATATGTCATGGCTACAGTCAGTTCTCGCGTATGGTGGCAGTGCATTGCGTGTAGTGGTGTAGCATGGCCAAGCCAGGTTACCTCTACTGCGGTTGCTGTAGGAGCACATCAGCGAGCGTGAAAATGACGTTGCCCTGAGATATTTTCTGCGGGTGGGATGCATGGTGGGGGAGAGTCCTGACCATGTCAGCCAATGCAGCGAGTGCAGGAGGCTGGATCCGAAAGGGTCGGCAGCCGGATGTGCGGACGAGGAGCTTTGTGGCGGCCAGATGTCGGAGGTTCCTCTGAACCTTGAAATGTCAGGGCCCCGCCTTCTTTCTGTGCAGCTGAGGTTCAGTTCCGCCTGCTCTTCAACGACGACGCTTGTGCTACAGAGAAGACAGCCGAGGCTGTCAAGAGGGTTAGCTCTGTGCAAGCTTGCGTGGTTGGGCGTGCTTCTGAAGTGGCTGCCGAAGGGCCTAAGAGCTTTCATATCCGACACCGACAAGCTCGAGGCGAAATGCAGTACTCTACAGAAGCAACTTTCTTGCAGGGTCTCGGTGTTCATGGTCTTTGAAGGCTGCCATCCGGCAGAAGATCAGCCCCTAGTCTGGCAGTGCATCCGGCAGCCCGCTATTTTGGAGCGAGGGCAGGAAAAAGCGTTGCTTGTATTATCTGCGGTGCCCACTCCTTTATCATCATGGCTTCCCGACAGACTTCGCAGCGTTGCCTGCGGACATTTCGATGCACTTGTGTTCAAGGTAGGCTTACCGAACCGTTTCAAACGGATGGGGCCTGTGTGCAAAGAGCACAGCAGGCAGAGGTAGATAGATCAGCCTGGCAATGGCCCGCTTGCCAGCCCGGATGTGGATTCCAGTCAGCTTGAGTGTTCTGCTCACGTCTTGCGAGAGTCTGCTGGATGGCGACGGCTGCCTGGCTGATTCCCTTTGTGAGGTGGATCCTTCAGGTCTGATGCAGATCACATCAATCAGGTCGAATGCGGCCATGGGGCTATTCCGTGCCGCTCAAGTGCCTCAGAACACATCCGAGGAGCCAACCGACATAGAGCAACACTTAGCTGAACGGCTAGAGAGCAAGACGTCAGAGAAGGAGAACAAGGCCAGCAATCGTAAGCAATGGCCAGGGACGTCAGTCAACGACACAAAGCTCAACTCGACAGGAGAAGAGACTGCGCCCTTTGTGCATGCTGAATACCAGGGTGCCAAAGGGAAGACAGTTGAAGTGAAGGTTGAGATAGCCACGGCTAACGAGATCGTGTCCATCTATCTCTTGCTGTTCGTGCCGTTGGTCATGGGCTGGGTGTACTACTGGTCAACCGGATGTGAACAAGATGTGCTATACCAACAGCTCATTCAGCTAAGTGTCGGTGCCACCAGCATCGGGAACGTGATTGCCAACCAGTCGCTTTGCATTTTAACACGAGAACCTATGGCCCTGACATTTCTACAGGCTGCGGGCCTGTGTGTTGCTGGCCTCGTTGTCTCTGCCTGCCAAGTTTGCATGGCAAAGCCCAATGTGCAGCATAGTGCAGAGCACGCCATCGCAGGACTTTGCAAGTGGACGCCCGCAGCTGTTGCATTTTGCGCGTATCAGGTGGCAGACCACTTCTTGTCCAACAACAGCTCGATTTCGGAGCGCACCATTGTCGGGAACCTTGGGCCGGTGGTGGGCTTCATTGTGGAAGTTACTATGCCTTCCATGTTTGCCCTCAGCGTTTCGAAAAAGTCTACTGCAAGCCTGTCATCGAAGATGGCCCTCTTTTGCACCGTTTTCGGTGCCACAATCTTTGTGTTGCAAGATCCTGACTTCAACTGGATTGGCATAGAGACATCCTCAATCTGGACACTCTCGCATGTGTTGTACAGATTGCTGCAGAGAGCTTTGCTCGGCAGGTTAGATGATCTTCCAGTTTCCTGGATGATGGCCTGGGATGGCTTCCTGCTGTGCATCCCGGCAGTGTTCATGTCTGGTGAGTCTGCGGCCTCCATTTGGAGTGGATGGCAGATCTGGGTCTCAAATTCCCAGGTGCTGATCTTATTGCTGTTATCTACGCTGTCTTTTGCTTCTGGGCACTTTGTTACAATCTGCTGTCTGAAGAGCTGTTCGGCCACGCTTACGATGGTCATCGCGAACATCGCCACCACCTTGTGCTTAGTTCAAGGGATCCTCTTCTTTGGAGACAGGGATTTCCAGCAGCCCCTGACAGTCGTGGGAATGATGATCAACCTCTTTGGCGGCCTGTGGTATGCAAAAAGCCAGGACACGGTGACTTGCGACTTCAAAGGCAAGGAAGCCGAGGTCCAAGATGCCAACGTAGTAGAAAGCTCTTAAAGTCTTAGAGCGATTTGTTTGTAGCTTCGGAAACTCCACAGTCTTGCCTGAGCAGGGTCTTTTCCTTTGTCCTGCTCAGGAAAATTATAAGTCTGGACGCATCTCCAGAGGAGCTTGCGTAATATCTGGACTTGACGCAGGATACCTGCAAAGTTGGAATGAGGTCGGCATACCTGCTCTGTCAATGCGATTGAGCAAGCGTGGTAATGATTCTGGCTACAACGATGCTAGTGCTCGGATTTCCTACTGAAGTGGCTTTGGCTCAAGACCCCCAACAATGGGTGCCATGGCAAGTGCCTCGTAGAGGAGCAGCATTTCAGGTCGGGCTGCCAGACTGAGGTGTGGTTGCTTCTGGTATCAAGAACAGCAGATGCAGAGCAGCTGTGGGTTGAGCATAAGTCACAAGTTCCAGAACAAGGCATTCATTGGGCCTCATACCAGCAGATTCGTTATAGTCAGTGCTCACTTGCGCCAAAACCTTTTGAGTTTTGAAACGGGCGAATGCACAACTGTATGCCCCTTGCATAAGTCTTTGCGAATTCGTGCTCAAGATGTCCTTCTCAGGTTGTGGAAGATCTGCCAATGGCCACTGCAGAGCCAATAAGCAAGGTGCGACCGAAGTGCGGACGAAGTTGCCATCCTGTGCCGTGCTCCTTCATGCACCTTCTATTCCTTGAGGAACATAGCAACCGGCAGTTGTGGGTTCTGGCGCTGCTACTTGCCATGATATGCAACGTGTTGTCGTGCTCTTAATGCTGTTAGATCGATGCTCTGCATCATCTGAAGGTTCTTGGGGCATGCCAGCTGTTCGGTTTTCTTAGTCCTTGTCAACAAGACAATATCGACGTCATTTCCTTACGTCTGCCGCCCGGTTCTCTGAAGTCACACACTCTGATATCAAAACGGTGCTGTTGCGCATCTTGTTGAGGCCTGGACCGTCGTCGCTTTGCAGAACACAGGAACAATTGTGTGCTCTTGCTTTCTGCACCTCAACGGCAAGGCCCGCAGTGTGGAACACGTCCATATGTCAAATTGATGAGTTCCCACATCTTGCCGTATGCTGAGATGCATCATCGAGCACACCTGTTGAGGTTCTGCTTCGGCAGCTACAGAGACACCAGGTCCGGAAGTCAGCGGGGCGTAGCAGAGCACTAGTCCAGCGGCAGGATATGCACCATCCTTGAAACCTTGAGCTCACCTTTCAACCTAGCAATCCAGACTCGTGAGCTGTAATCCTCGGGACCCCTGCAAGGACATGCGGAGATAGCCTTGTTGCTTCTAACGAGAGCAAATGCAAGAGTGACAAGGTGCTACCGCTCCTCGTAGATGCCATTTGGCTGGTTGCCGCTCCTGGGGACGCACTGGTGCTGAGTGGTGTTTGTTTTGCCTTCGCCCCTACAAATAGCACCGGATGCCACAGGTGCTCATGAGCAGCTTCAAAGCCCTTGAGGAGGTTAGCCTTTTGGTGGCACCAGATTCAACGGACGCCAAAGGCATCAGCAATAGGATGTACTAGGATCGTTTAGACATGCCAGAGTTTAGACACTTCTAGCTGGCGCACCAAGGCGTCCCGCTTTATGCAACTTGGCCAGGGAGTCGGCGCGCATTGCAAAAGCCTTTCTGTGCAGTAGTTTTTGATCCAGGTAGTCATTCGCAACACCGTTCCATTTCTCACAGCCCTGAGCGAGCGGGCTGCTTTGAAGAAACCAATGGATGCGATGCTGGTAGTTGCGCTCCTGATTACGTTCGTTGGCACAATCCTGTATTCAGTATCTCAGCCGCACAGCTTTCCTATTGAGCAGAGCAGCAGAACGGATGAGCTTGTCAAGGGGTAGCATAAATTCGCTTTTCGCCAGGTCACAGATTTCACAATCCGGTACAACGGCGCCATCTATGCAATTTCCAATGCAGTTCTGGTGGCGGGCATGTGCACGTACGAACGTTATCTGATGACTTCTGCCAATCTTGGCATGTCTGCCATCGACATAAACTTCCACCGCGTAGCGAGAGCCCCGGACATTTATTGTCAACTGCGCAGTTGATGCTCAAAAGTTTCTTTCTTCCCGACCTTGTTTCAGGTTCTTTCAATGCCGTTGATAGCAACCCTTGGCTACACGGAGGGATTCCCGGCCACACTGCTAGACTTGGCAGTCCGAAGGCACATGGCGGAACCAGCCACAATAGCACAGCACGCAGAGACGATTTGATGGCCCTGAAGGTACGAGGCCTTGTTGATAGCTTCATCTGCTTTTGCTGCATTTGGCATCGGCACGCTCCTTCTGGCTTTACAGGCACTGACAGTTCTCCGTAGCATCCAGGTTTCGATTCCGATTCTGCGGTGTGTCACTTTGCCTTGGTTCTTCAGCCCGCGCACGAGCACGGTATTGGCCGCATGATCAGAATGTCGTATTTTGCGTGAAGTTTCTTCTCCCGTCTTGGTCCGGATTCGGCAAGCACTGTCTACTAGAGAAATCGATGTTCTGTTCAATTCGTGTCTCAAAACTACCGCTTGTGCCTTGCTTAAACCTAGCCACCATCCAAAATGACCATGCTTTTGACCAGGCCGAAGTGTCTGCAACGACTATACAGGCGGGCAGTCCAGATCTTGTAATTTCAGCGTTGCTATGCACATGAGAACACAGGTGGCCAACGTTTCTTACAAGTGCGCAACCACGGTTGTGAGCAGACTGACGCATCCGTCAGAGACTCTTGTCACAATTAGCCGGAATTGTTTTGTTGGTGGAGCTGGCTCATTGCTTGGTGTGTACATGCGACCTCGAGAGGCTGACGGCAATGGGAGTTTTCGGATATTGTGTTTGAGATTTGGTTGCAAAATGGAGAGCTTGATGTTGTGCTGAGTGCCTGTGTGTCTGGGACCGCTTGCGAATTGGATCTTTGTTAAACCGCCGCGAAGGTACGGGGGGGGTGCTCACCTACACACTGACTCGCCCTCCATCACGCGGAAAGGCCGGCCTGTTAGTGTCAGTCAGGTCTGATTTTCTAGCAACTTTGAAGTTCGCTCAAGTCTGTCATGCTAAGGAAAAGTGAATCTGGAGCAATCGTCTGCACTGCACCGAGCGGGGACCTTGTGCAAGAGTTTCAAGGCTCCCTTGCCAACGGGATCACGAAAAATAGGAGAAGGTGCACGGATTGCTGAGTGTCTCCTGGAGCAAGGAGAGTGCAACTTTCGGAGGTGTCAGCATTGATGCTCACTTGCCACACGTTTTCCGACCATGTCAAGTCACAAGGGCTCAGCTTGTGAATTGCTTCGCTGCAAACAGACAAGGGATCAACAGACAGTCAGAGGTCAACAAACTCGTTAATTAGCGCTTGCTTGACAAAGTACAAGCTCGCTACAAGCTCGTACAAGCCCAGAACAGTTTGAGAGACACATGGCAATGGCTGGATTGTCTTTGCACCCATGGCCGCTGCCCACAAGGCACTATGCAGGCGGCGCTGGCGGATTCGTGCCTTTTGGAGAACTTTCACAACTTGGACATGCCGCGTGGCAACCATGGCAGCAGGCTCGGAGCCGAGACTGCCGTTCTTCGAGTTGTGACCGCTGGGCTCCGGCATCCTTCCCAGCGCCTCAGCGCTCCTTCGCGTGCCTCCCGGGAAGACCCCAGCGCATGCAAAGTCTTCCGCATATGCGGCAGATGCCTGCCAGTTTGGCTGCGCCACCAGCCCTCGGGACCTGGTCCACTTTGCAACCTCGAGCTCACCAAGGGGACTTGTCCTTGTCGCATCCCGAAGTACGAAGGCGAGCCTCTGAGAGCTCCTTGCAAGATCGACCGAGTCGACCCATAGAGGCGCGAGTCCAAGCAGCCCAACCACGAGGCGTTCTGGGATCCAGATCTGAAGTCACAGCCACACTCGCAGCTTGGTGAGAAGCCATGTGAAGCCCTGGCCATGCCTGGCCCCTGACACCTGCATCAGGCCGTGTACCACTCACATACCTGACCCTCCTTTAATGTAGCACATTCTATCCGGCAACAGGGTCTTCAAGGCTGTGTGCTAGGCCGTGCCACCGCTTGTGCATCAAAGGGTTAAGGCCCAGGCGTGTGCACATGTCGCCGGACAACAGAGCACACTAGAAGAGACATGATACACAATGCCTTGGCATTAAACGCATGGTTACTTTGCAAGCATGAAGCATGGTTAGCGGTTCACGCATATATCTCGTATTCAACAATCAACTGTCGTTGGGTTTGCGGGACGTAGATGTGAAGGAAGGCATGGAAGAACAAGAAGCAGTGTAACAGGAAATCCGAAACGAGCACACACGATCACCATCCATGGCTTGGAAGGCCAATCGCCCGAGCATGTGAACGACTCACTGCTGAACACATCTCATCCATGGGGAGTTTCGGGGGTTTTGTGAAAAAAAAAACTCATGGCCGTTTGCTCGCGCACCACTATTGTGCAGCTCCCCGACAGCGGTTGATAATGGAGGCCACGGGAATTATTCGTAAGTAGTGTATTTCTTAATGCAGGGCCACAGGTTGGGTGAGATTCAGCCGTTGCAGACAAGAAAAAACTAACAAGCAGGGACCTCCAAATTGGCAAGCGGCGCACAGCATGGGCAGCGGGAGACTTGTAATCTGCCAGGCCAAGAAGACCAACTTCCTTGATTGGACCTGTGAGGTGGCCAACAAGTGTACCAAACGAATCATCTCGAAAGCTGGGTGTTGCAATCGACGGTTCTTCTATACACCGAAGCAAAAGATGACCAGAAGGGAGATGGAAACCAGGGAACGGAGGGTTCTACTCAGGCCTGCACAGTGGACGGGCTGGCACTCACAGAGGCCGAGCAGAGGCCACGGCTAGACTGGCCAATGCACACAAAAACTGCGGCGCATTCACGAAGTTTTGGAGACTTGCCTTACTCACAGTCAACTGGAAACTCGGATCTTCATCGCACCTCGGCCTTCCACTCGCCATGCACGGAATCAAGGCCACTTGTGCACAAACAACAAAAGAACATGTGGCGCCAGACGGCGCGGTCGCCATCAGCAACTCGGGTGTTCAAGCTCTTGCCAGACAACCGCCCTTAAAAACAGTTGTTCGAGCACATTTGTCGAATGCCCCCGGTAGTCTCTGAAATGTAGCTTGTTTCAACCACTTCTTTTGTGTAAATGGGGCGGCAGGTTACGTCAGGGTTGTCCTTAGACGACACTGGCCTGAGCAGTGTGCAAAGCTTACTTGGCATTTGTTCCAGATGCTGCAGCAGTTTCCTTCCGAACTCCTGAAGTACTTAGCCGCGCAGGAAATAACACAAATTGCAACAGTCGCCCGTTCCAGTTCAGAGAAGGCTGTGCAGTCCATGCCCATGCCTCACCAGGAGTGAGCAAAATTGCCTAAGCAGGAGCCAAAGAGCAAGGGAAAGAGCACCCAGAGCAGAGCCGAACAGGGACAAGCGAAAGAACATTGACAAAACAACTGGAGAAGCAAACGCAGGATCAATCAATAATCGCTCAGAGTGCGGAGTACAGAAAAATGCAAACACAGCCTGCGCAGTGGACACAACCGCAGAAAGTTGAAGGGATCTGATGTTGGTATAGTCCTATCTGGTCAGTCTAGTAGTCTGCCATTCAATTTTTCAAATGGTTTGGTGCCAAGGACTTGCTCTCGGCTTGCTCTTTGAGGCCACTCGACTCTGCGGCGCCGGCGACTGCCCGGGCTTCGAGCGGTTGTAAATGCGACCCACTATGCAACCGCTTGCAGAGAGAACTCGCAATGGGAGAGCGAACGCCTGTTACACGGTAGCTGACTCAGACTGACGTTCGGAGCACGAAACGCTGCAGCTGTTTTTTTGTGTTGTTTTGCTGTTTTGTTTTGTGTTGTTTTGTGTTTTGGCCAACAGGTCCGCGACATCTGTGTCTCCGCAATCTCCGAAGTCGACCACAACCTCCAGTCCACCACGCTCACCAAGCAGTCTGCCTGCAGGAATCACGAACAGTCCCAGCCATCGCAATGAATCGCCCCAACGACAACAAAGTTAACTCTTGTTGAACGAAAACTTGTCAGTCTGCACATGACTGCATCAGGCATTCCGATTGCCGGATCCTTCGTGCTGCGGCGCCATGTTTCTGAGCAGTGCTCCCACGTGGCCGAGAAAGACGCCATGATCAACACGTGTCGATGGCCAGAATTAGGAACTCTGCAGAGAGGAGACAGACAGACAGACAGGCAGACATACGGACAGACATACGGACAGACCGACAGACGGAGACAGACAGACAGACAGACAGACAGACAGACAGACAGACAGACAGACAGACAGACAGACAGACAGACAGACAGACAGACAGACAGACAGAGAGAGAGACAGAGAGACAAAGAGAGAGACAGAGAGAGTGGAGCACGCCCACCTGGGCGACCCCTTCGGGGCTTACGTGCTGCGGAAGGAAGGAAGGAAGGAAGAGAGAGAGAGAGAGAGAGAAAGTGGGAGAGACCAACAAACCTTCCGCGCCCCTCGGGCCGGCTCCTCCTTCTGGAGGGGCCTTGCATGTGGAGGGAGGGAGGGAGAGAGGGAGAGAGAGAGGACGCAGGATCGGGGCGCGCCTTGGCGCAGGGATCCCTCTAGGGATTTGAAGGGCAACCTACCCGACATTCAACCCTTCATTCCTAACAAGGGGGTCCCGTCTCACACAAGACCGCGAAGCAGTGGGCCATCGCGGCCGGGGTTCCCGGTGAGGGGGGCCTCTTCGCTGAGTTGAAGAGAGAGAGAGAGAGAGAGAGAGAGAGGGAACATACGACGCAGTCGTCTAGAGTCTCTGTCGCGCGCGAAGAGTTTCGCGTGAGACCTGAACGCAATCCAGGCGCGCCTTGCGCGCGAGGGGGGGGGGGTCACCTCCTCAAGCCCCGTAGAAGAACAAGAGAGGGAGAGAGAGGGAGAGAGAAGGAGAGAGAAGGAGAGAGAAGGAGAGAGAGAGAGAGAGAGAGAGAAAGTGCTCTGAGGAAAGTGAAGTGGAAGTTCTATGTCGCTAGTAAATTTTCACCTTGGAGCATGTGGCCTACCCTGCACGTGCTTCGTGTACCAAGCGTTAAGAAGTCGTTGTTTCCCCCCGAAGCACGTTCGAGTTGTTGCGCGTTTTTCCTGGAGATCTAGTGTCGGGAGGAACCACACACTGTCCCGTTTTGGTCTGACCCCATTGACTCTTCAGTGCCTGACTGATGCCCACGTTCCTCCCTGTTTTCATCCTTTCCCCAAAACACACCAGGGGGGGGGGGGGGAATGTTCTCACACACAGATCTGTTGAGCACGCCCCTAGGGGCGGCCTCCCTTCGGGGTGGGTCATGTGCAGAGGAAGGAAAGAAGAATGTGTAAATCAAACCTATCTTCAGGCCGAAAGATCCGTACCTGCCGGGCTCTATTGCTACTTTCGTCACCTTCTGTTGCCGGTGCCAATGCTTTCTGTTTCAGGCAGAGGCTGAAGCCTCTGCATTTTGGCCGTTTTGCGTATGAGCCATCGCTTTCGAATCAGAATCAGCCAGTGTAAGAGAGAGTTTACTCCTTGGTAAGTCTTCTGCGAGGGCCCAAGCAAGGCCATTTTTTTGCCGACCCTGGCGAGCCTTGCTGGAGTTTTGGCCCCACAGATTCCTATCCAGCCTGAGCTCCTCAAGGGCTGCCATCCGCCTGCCCCAAAGAAAGGAGAAGAGAGAAAGAGCCCGAGCGATTAACACAAAAAAGAAGCAGTACTGTACATGATCTGAGCCGACAGCCGAGGCGACAGCCCAAGCCATGGAGCTCGCTTGCCCCTGATTTGTCGCGACGTATGTGCGGAATTGTCGCATGGAGAGCAGCAGAACAAGCTACTGGATCAGGTGTGTCATCCGCATCCACGGCCCCAACCGATAAGGACCCCACGGCCAGTCACCGCGTTTGCGCGCTCGATTCGATCGGGTAGCTGACAATGCTTGGTCAGTGGAACAAGAAGCAAGGTGCAGATAGAATCCTCCCCAAAAGGCGAGAGACCTCACAAGGATTTTTGTCATTTGTCGACCGTATCCCTTCCGAAATTCCGAAACCCAGCTCAGCATCCTTGATTTGATTATTTGGACCAGCCCGATTTTGCCTGTTTTGGGGGGAGGGTGAGGAGGGGGGATTTAGGATGAAGGGGAGGCGATTGCTGCATGAGATGGATACTCCTACCGGACATTGCCGAAAAATTCCAGTCAGTGTACGGCCTACCGGCAGGATCCCACAAGGCAACGATGTCAAGAAACTTCCCCGAGAAATTGAAGTCCGTACACCGTCCGTACACCGTACCTCAAAACCACTTGCCTTGCGCATGCGCCACATGTGTGCAATGCTTGGTAAACTGGCAGGAGCCTCTCAGTCTCTCTTGCAATGAGGCAGACGGCTTGGCTTTATTCTTTGCACGTCCATAGGGTGCTCGGCCTCGTGCTGCCACGGTTACATCATTGAGGCGCGGCCTGCACGGCCGCAGCAGAAGCAGGAACAGCTGCGCAAGCTGGCAGAGGATGCTCGCAGACTGACGCAGAAGCCAGGCTGAACTTGGCGACTCGCTGTATTCTTGACAAACTTGTGCGCACTAATGCAGCCATGTTTCCAAGCTGAGGGACTGCACTACATCTGCTCGAGACTTATAGGGTCCGCCTTGACACCGCAAAGATGAGAGCCACATCGTAATCCTGTCCCCCAAAGCCGGAATTAGTTTGCAGAGCCCATAGCTTTCGACGAAGCTGTGCTTTGCTTGAGGTGCTGGATGTAGAAACTGATGACGCGCTCTGTTCGCCGGTGCGGCAAAGTCCAGTTCCAGGCTCATACTCTCCAGGAGCTGGCCTCAGCCGCAGCATGTCGCAACTACCGCAGCGAACGCAAGACAGGGGGGTGGAGGGTGGAGGGTCACTGTAGAACTACACACACACACACACTCTTCCACCGACCCACGCACACACACACACACACACAGCAAGCAGTTTTTGCCAGTCCAAATCGCATTTCGCAAAAACACACACCCACACACACTCACACACACGCACACACACACACACATGCCTGAGGGTTCTTGTTAAACAAGTTGCACCTTTGCACAGTCCTTCTTGCACACGAGAATCCTCTGAGTGGAAAGCCGGTTCCTGGGCAGCACGGCCGAGTATCAAATTGCTTAGATTGGGGGTGGGGCTGCAAGGCGCTTGAACTACGGATATGCCTCATCGCCTGGTGGCGTCAGATAGTTCGATGCGAAACGGCTTGACAGACAGATGAACAGATGTGCTGTTTTATGTGCAGGTTTACAACCGCACACACGTGTGTGCATATATTTATGCATATATATATATATGTATATATGTATATATCTATATATCTGTGCATATATTCATACGTGTGTGTGTACGTATATGCGACATACAACTATGCAGGAATACGCGCTTGCATGTGTAGGCACATGCGCATGTACAAGTACATTTGTATGTTCTTACGACGGCTCATTCCGAGGTGGTGAGTCGCAGGACTGGTCGGTGCTTCAGGCTTCGCGGCCTTGTGTGGCTCATTTTTGACTTGCAAGCGTGTTGTGCTTAGGAAGCAGCTGTTGAGCCGCCCAGGTGTGCAGAATCGATGCGGGCACTCAGACCACATGTGAACGGAAGTTGTCGGATGAGCGACGATTGCGTGACGACATCGCTGTGGGTTCACTGGAAGATGAGGTGCTGTGGTCCAGGAGTCGAAATTTGCCTGCTTGTATAAGCGCTCTTGCGATACAGGGCGAGGCGGCAGTTGGCGCAGTTGGCTCACAAACTCATTGCCTGCGCAAGCTTGAAGTGCGGGTGGCGTCATGTTGGCGGCATTCCGATGGGCAGCAGGCTTCAAGTCTCAAAGGAAGCGAGCACAGCAGCTTGCAGCTGTCGTCGACGCAGTCGCCGTCTTCTGCTCAGGAGAACCTGTGCAGTGAGGGAAGCGTTGGTGGCCGCCATCGCTTGCAGCATACGCCTTGCAACTCCTTGTCGTCTGTGTCTTCCCCGCTGGAAAACTCAAGCCTGCTGAAGGACACGTGGGCTGATCCAAGCGTCACGACAGAGGGTTGTTGTGCATGTTGTCGTGACTCAACATTGAATGAGCGCCGCAATGATGTGAGGACCTTGATGCAGCAAGTCCAGCATGGGACCGGATGCGGGACGACGTTGCAAAGTTGCCAGTCGAAGACCTACAGAGGAGAGCAGAAGCTTTGACACAGAAGCTACAGCACAGCTGCTTGGCACAGACTGAGTTGGGTCGCGAACCTTTCTTTGTTGAATCAGCTTCGGGCGCATAGCATCTACTGAATCTCCTGGTTTCCCTTTGTGATAGACCCGAGGAGAGCATCAGTGCATGGTGTTGCGGGAAGCTTTAGAAGCTTGCAATCATCACTTCAGACATGCGCTCGAACCAAAGCGAGGCGTCGTCCCCTCCTGGCTCTCTTCTTTTCCCTCTTCCTCTTCTTCCTCTTCCTCTGCTTCTCTGCCTCTCTGCCTCTCTGCCTCTCTGCCTCTCTGCCTCTCCTTCTCCCTCTCCCAGTCTCTCTCGCTCCCACCGTCGCTCTTTGCTGCGGCAGGTGGCAGTTGAGAAGCAGCAGCCCAGCAAACCAATGCCCCTTTAGGCGAAACGCCATCAAAAGACGATGTGAACAGCCCATCGCTGTCAAATCGTCTGCTCAGGGCCACTTTTTTGAGTTATGCAAAGTCACGCCCAGTTGTACAGTAATTAGTCGGCTTTCTGAGTTGCGTGCCCAGTTGCTGGTCGACTTGAAATTCGCAGCTGCATGCCCAATTCGCTAGCAACTTGCTGTTGCAGTGCTGGAATTCTTGCGTGTAAGAGGCAAAGTTAAAACGATTGCCCCATGAGAATGTCCCAGTTGCTTGTCACGACGAAATGTGGCTCGGTCGGGGCATGCTACGAGACGGTTCAGTCTGCTTGGAAGTCTGGGGATCTTTGTGATTCTGAAGCCCGGAAATGTTAGCATTTGCTTTTGTGGTCGATAGTCTGAGTGGCTTTGGGCTTTGAACAGGAAAGTGACATTTGCGGATCGAACAGAAAGTGGGGCATGCGAATGCCTGGGCTCAGGCACACGGAGTTCGAGATATGTTGCTGCCAATTGCAGTGGTAGCAGGGCAACTGGCGACAAGCAGGATATGGAAGCCTAGGGTCATCTAGGGTCGGCTACCCTTTGTCAACTCCAGCTTCCATTTCAAAAATTGCGATTCCATTTGAGGTGCAAGGCGTGACCGCTGCGGTAGGACCACACGATTTTCGATTCATTCGCTGAGGCACAACAAACGCGCTCAATCCTGCCCGTCCTGCAGGTATTGGCTGTTGATTACTTTAGCTCGTCCACACGAAGGTCTGAATTGCTGTTGGGCGCCATGCTCAGGTGCTCGACCTGCTCAAGCATGAGTTTGAAATTCGCATGGTCAGGCAACCGCAGACAACCTTGGAACTCAGCAGTAAGATTGAAGAACGTCAAGGAACCAGGCTGCAGCAGGCACCATCGAGCCGTCTAGATCCATCAAACAGGCCGCTCTTGACAGGGTTGCTTCTGTTTTGGCTGCCCCAGATTCAAAAGAGGGCCTTGCCGAATGGATTTTGATTTTGCACAGCCTGAGGAAGACCCATGGAACACCTTCAGCAAACCGCAGAAGAAAAAGAAAAAGAAGAAAAACAAAGGACCTGACGAGGGGGAGGATTTGGCAAGCGGGTGGACGGACGAAGCTCAGAGACAGGTTGGCTTTGACGATTTCTCGGTGGATCCAGGGCTTGGTGCGAGAAGCACGCAGCCTGAGGCTGAAAGCAGGACCCTTCGTCGGAGGGTGAGTTTCAGTGATGATCCACCTGAGTCGCACACCTTCAGCAAGACTGACGTGGATGCTGGGGCAGGAGTGGGGCCTTGGCCGGAAGAATTGACCTCAACTTCTGCAAAGGCTGAAGTGCCACCCGACTTGAAAGCAGCAGAGGAGCTTTGTTGGAAATGCGGCAAAGCCTTCGAGCTTTGGGACTCGTTGTTTTGCCGACATTGCGGATGCAGGCGCGGATCCCCAGCTGAACCTGGCATGGATGCTGGAGCAAGCACCGCAGGCTTCAGTCAGAGTAGTCCCATACGGCCGCTGGAGCGCCGCTTTTCTTTCTCCTTAATGGATATGGCAACTGAGCAAGTGGGCCGAGCAGGCCTAGTAGGTTCACCGTATCTTCCAGGGAGCGAACCAATTCGGGAAAGCTTGGAGACACAGAAGTGGAACCCCTTAGATGGAGTGAAACGTCACTGGTGGCCGACCAATGATGAGTTCCGGCAAGGGCAATCGGGGCACATGCAATCAGAGGGAGCAAGCCCTCAGGTTCTGTCTGCGTTGCGTTCTGGGAACATCGTGGAAGAAGTTCAGAAGGCAGAGCAACGACTTCAGGGTCTCCAGCGGAAGATTTCCAACATCGAAGGTTCCTTAAATCGAGGCATGTGGCCATCTGGGGGTCGAATTTCCGTGTCCATGACACAGTTAGCTCATGATGGAGGCTTGGGTGTTTCACTCCAAGGCTTGACTATAGCAGGAATCACGGATGCAGAGACAGCCGATCGGGCTGGCTGGGCTGTTGGTGATCACATCCTGCAGGTGAATGGGGTGACGATCTTGAATGACCACCAGCTCTCGCAGGAGCTTGCAAAAGCGCTGAGCGCCCACAGAGCTGTGATGAGGCCACTTCATGTGGAAGTTTGGCGCCCGGAGACGAAGACGGAAACGGACCTAGCAAGAGCGAGCCGCCCAGCTGCGCAAGCTGTGCACGTCACTCATGGGCTCCAACCACAGTCGGCGCGCCAGCCTTCAACGCCTTCACCGCCTGCACAGCCTTCACGCCCGCCTTCACGGCCCTTTGCGGCGGCTGAACCTGTCGCTGCGCCCGTTGCGCACCAGCTCTGGGCTGGCCCGAAGCTCCTGTCACCGCAGCCTCCGCAGACTCCTGCAACGTATCTGGCGCCAGCTGCGAGTGCGAGCTTGAAGCCGTCCATGTCCAGACGCCGCGCAGCTTTGTGCTGATTGTGCAACCTTGCAGAGTTGCAGCCAGCATCCTCTCAAGTTTCCGGTCGTCCTGCTTGTTTTGGTGCGGCTTCCGGCTGCTGTTTGTGCAGGTGGTGGTTGTGGTTGGTGGCGGCGGCTGCATGTGTAAAAGAATAAGGCTAGATGCTAGATAAGCGCGCAGTGAAGCTGCACATTTCTGTCCGTGGGATCCGAACTGGACTAAAAAGCCCAGTAAGCGTGAGTGCAGCATATGGCTTGAGAGTCCAGGCCAGGAAGCCCATGGCAGACTAAAAAGTCTCTGACACGAGGACTCAGACGGTTGCCTTAACTGAAAAGCAGTCGAGGCGCGCGGATGAAATGACGCCTGCTCACAAAACGGTGCTTCAGCAGCGGTGACCGTATTTGCCTTACCTGTAGCAAGCGGGTGGAAGTTAATAGTTGCAAGGATGGAAAGGTTGTTCTCATCATGAGGTGCTGCATTTGCATACGTCTATGAGTTCAAAAAAGTGTCCTCCAGAATCCAAGCACGCGAACGTGCTTACAACTGGCAATGCATTTGTGGCTCCAGATCAGCAGCAAGAATGCTGCTTTGTAGGTTATGTCTCCTGAGCCAAAAGAGCTCAAAAAGCTACAGCCGGTGACCCGACAAGCAGGCACCAAAGGCTCACATGGCTCGCGCAAGATAAATAAGCACTGGGCATGGCCAGAGGCTGAGTTGCTTCGAGGAGCCTCATGTTGCAAGATTTCAAGATTTTCTAGATTCGCTAACTTGCTGTGGCCCAGGGCTCGAAAAGTCAGGGTCAGCGCCATCCAGAGGAAAGTGGCATATTTGGCCTTGAAAGCCAGGTGGAAGTGGAACGAGGCGCTGCGTTGGCACACATGTCTTGTCCGGGCTCGGTCGTTCCTTGGCAGGTGGAGAAGATTTGCCAGCGCCTCACAGAGGAGTGGAAGCAGCCTCCGTTGCTTGCATTGCTGCTACCCACTGCCGCTTCCGATGAAGCCTTAATGGCCTTGGACTCACTGTCAGAACGCGGAGTTTTGAACCTCGGCTAACCTGCTGAACTCCGGCACATATCCGTGCAGACTTCGCACATGTGTCAGAGCTGCCCAGTGTCGTTTGGCGAATTTCAATCAGCTGAGGATTGAGGCTTTTGCAGAGACCCTGTACTGTGGCCAAGAGGTGTGCTTGTGGATCTTGAGGTCGGGCAAGAAGCAAGAAGCAGCATGCGTGGATCTCCCCTCATGCCAGACAGCGCAGGTGGGCTGGTGAAAATCCAACAAACGATCCGCCTGCGATTACTTTGGAGCTCTTCGCATCGTCTGCTTGGCTTAACTCAGTCTTTGCGGAAGTCAGAATTTCAGTCGCTTACAAACAATCGTAGCATCGCACAGTCCTGCTCTGAAGAGTCACTGAAGAGGTAGGTTTTTATTAAGGATGGTGACAGCGGCAACAGCCAAGCTTCATCCTCCAGATTCTGGCCCTTTCCTATGGCCGTTGCATGACAAGGACATCGCCTCTGCCATCGCCCTGTGTGAGCCTCGTGTCTTAGAGTCTTAGAGTCGAAGGCAGCGAAGGCGTCCTTAAGGGAGAGCTGTGATTTCTCAGACCGAGGCTTCACGAACTTGAAATCTATGATAATCTATGGCAAAAGTGCAAGGCTTATTACCATGCATACTGGTTTCATGCCAAAATCAGTAGCAGTCTGCTTGAAACAAGAGGAGGCAGAATCCCTGGCAGAAATGGCGGCAGAGTAGGAAGGGGTGTTGCTGGGGTGATGTGACAGTGACTCATTCTGCATGGTTGTGCTTCAGATTTTGGGTGCTGCGATTCTTTGTGAGAAGTTTCTGAGGTATGCGGGGAATGATGCGCCTTGGTGGAGGAAGGTCTTGTGGGCATTGAGAATAATTCAGCCTCCAGGCCGATAGTCCCAAGCACAAGCTCTCCCTACTTGTACCTTTTTTTCCTCAGCTCGTGCAGGCGGAACCGTTCTGGAAGAATGCTTGCTCGATCACTATGGACGCGAGGTCAGCAAGATGCAGATGAGATACTGAGATACCGCGTTTGTTCATGGCATGCCAATCAAAGCCTTTACTCGTTCAGGTAGGCTATGTCTTCGCCTGGACAAATGTTTTCGCTCGCAGCCTTTGGGTTCTCACGGCCGTGTGCTTGGCATTTTGGATCTGCGGAGCCCGCCCGCAGATGGGCGGATATGAAGGAGTTCTGTGGAGCACTTACGACATCTTGTGACTGTCCGAGCAAGAATGAGCTGCGCGGGTGTGAGATTTCTCCGGCCACGTGTGCCACTGCAGGTGGTATATCTTGCAATTCTTGATTCTTTGCTGGGCAATATGCTTGAGTGCAGTTGCTTGGGGGCCTTGGAAGGGTCTATGTTTGTGTGTGCGGCCTGGTGCTATTCTGTTTGTGTCACTGTGGTATAGTTGCACACGCTGTCATCGCCCTGATGGTGTAGAGTTCCAGGACCAGATCGGCAACGAAGCCATCAGAATCAGAGTGTTGCTACAGTAACTATAGTAGTGTAGGGCTAGCAGGTCCCTATCTTTGATGGGCTGGAGCACCCAAAGACTTGAGGTTGCTGGCTCTCGCCGATCAGTGTTGAGGAGCGGAGGAATTCATGGGAACGCTACAAACCGAGCTGCGTAGCTGAATTAGGTTGCATTAAATGGGTAGCCTGTCGGCCGGAATAAGCCAAGCATGCGAAGCGAGGTCGTGGGCTGCACGCCAGACAGCAACATGCCAGCGACGAACGAAGCTCCAGAGAGCAACATGCCAGCGACAAACGAAGCTAGCAGCTCTGTGCCGGCGCAAGCGTTGGCCGAAGAGGGTAACTATGATGGCCGGGTGGCCGATGAACAATCACAGACGCAGCCTTTCCAACCGTCACGGGCACGAACGAGCCCCTTAGAAGACATCAGTGGCCATGCCATTGCCGCCTGACTGCAAAGGAAGCGGGAAGGTCTTCATGTCTGAAAATGTCCATGCCAGGAATCCCTGCCTCAGGATAGCAGCTTGCACCTCCGCAAAGTGTCCAAGACCATGCATGATCTCAGTCCGGCCAGCACGTATTGCACCGTGGCGGTGGGCGCAGGATAAGTAAGGAGATGAAGCAGGATTCAGCATGCTCGAAAGCACCGCCGGCTGGACCCGGCACACGGACACAGGCAAATGCAAGACTCAACACGCCAGGTGATCGTAGTTCCACGAAGGATATGCATTCGCCAGCTCGCTTGCTCCTTTCTTGCACGTATTGTGCGGCACAACCTGATGTGAGACATGTGTTTTTTTTGACTCCACTGTGCAGGCTGGAAGGCGTAGAAGAGGTTCCACAAGAGAAGCGGCGGGAGATGGGGGAGAAGCTGCAGAAGCTTGCCACATTTTGGTTTGCTTTGGTGTGTCGCGAAGCCGCTATGCACGGTCGGGTGAGCTCCTTTCGGTGTACTGAACCCATAACAGCTGGTCGAGGAGTGGGTAGCTGGGCTAGCTGCCCTGCTTGGCATTTCTGCCAGGTTTCAGTAATATGCCGGGGTTTGCTTTTTGTGGTTCCTGCTCTACTGTCAGCTAGAATATAGAACAATCCAAAAAGACACATTTTCTATCCAGGCGTTACTAACCAAACTAGTTTGTGTCGAGCGTGATGATTCTTGAGTCCAATACTCTCACCACCGAATCAGGCAAACTGTCCAGCAGGAGTTGATAGGGCACGCTAAGGCAGCGAAGGCGTAGGCTGGGTAGGCATGGGCAGCAGCATCGCCTGCCATTTCATGAGGCGTGCTCTTCTGAAGGCCAAGTTCATTGGCTTCCAGGATGCATTGTTGTCAGTTCTGAGATGGGCGTGGCCCAGTTGTACTGTGAACATTTGTCCATGCTTGCCCTCTCGTGCCGAATGTTCAAACGAGCACGCAGTCCTTTTCACATTGCATCACGTGAGGTTGGGAGTCGAAACAGAGTCCTGGCTGAGTTGCGGCATGCTCACGCGTTGCTGAAAGCTGCATGGCTACATTCTGGGCCAGATTTCCAGGGCAGAACCACCGAACCACAGTATCTCAAGGATGGCCGTTCGGCGACATAATCCAGACTATACCCAACGAAGGTGGCCCAAAGCAACCTGTCAGCAGTCGGGCATGGGCACGTGCGTTCCGAGGCAGTCAGAAGGAGTTTCATTGGTGGTCCTGTGGCTTGTAGTGGCCAGGGTATACTGGCCGGAAGTAAGGGCAAACCCCGGTCACCCAGCAGATTGAACGCAACGCGCATTTCGATACCGGAAAGCCCTCCCGAGAAGCGTTCGCAAACTCATGTGTGCTTGGCCTGGAATGTCCCGAACAGCGAGCGCAACTTCGCATGAGGGAAAAGAGCATCGAGCTCTTGCCTTCCTTGTCTTGCCAATGATTGTGATGCTGGCAAGCCATCTTTTATCGTTCACAAAGTTTCGCAAATAACTTTGACTGCTCGCATGGCTTTTGCTTTCCCTGCCGCGTGCAGCCACCGATCATGCAGCATCAGCTCTCCAGACCACACACTGCCTGTCGTAATCTGCAAGCTGGAGAGATGCAACACAATGCGGAAAGTGATTCGTGCGCTGGCACGTTGAAATTCAAGGGTCTGCCAGGGCTACACAATTGCTCAGCGAGTTGGTCAAATCCTTGCGTTCAACGTGGGTGCAGCTCTCTTTGATGATTGCTTGAGTGGCAGCGCGAGGCCTGGGCTGTCTTCTCCGGCTTTGTTACAGTTGCCACTCGGATGCGACTGGAGAAACCCTTTACTGATAGGCAGCTAAAGTTCTGAAGTCAGGCATGGTTGACCACAATTTTGTGATCTTAAGGCTAAAATTCATGCAGCTGACTTTGATACATTCTGCAGCTCTTGATGACAACAGGTTGTGATGTTCGCCTTCTTGGCGGCTGCCTTCATAGTGCTGGCATTCTTCTTGAACATGCCCCTTCTTTGCAGAGAAAGTTGACTGGTCACCAGAGCAGTTTTTGCAAAGCGATTTGTCAGATCCAGCCGTTGCATGGAATCGTATCTGTCCGACGAGGAAGTCGCACCTGATATATGATTGGGGCGATTGCTTGAGGGAAAATTGCAACAATCCTTTGCCGCTGGGCGGCCGTGAATTTCATGTTCTCATGCAGCCACGGCGCGCTGGTGCTGCACATGGTGCACTGCATGTCTGAAGAAGCCGAGGCACAAGCACGGCATCAAAGGACTTCTCGCAGACATATCCGTCGACATTTCGCTAGCATTGCTTTTCGTGGTTTTGCTCCTGTCCTGAAAGATGTTGAAAACATGCGCAAGTGCAAATCGCTTCTTGCAGACCACGTTTTACGCATCTCCAGAGGTTGGGCGAGGCTTGCAAAGCCGTGGCTGCGGCACTTGCGAAGCTCTGGAACTTCAAGGCGCAATCTGTCTCAGCATGTTTCAGCTGAATCGGCAGTTTTCCCCGACGTTGTCTCTGAAATCCCTGACGTCAGTACATGCGACGACGTCAGTACGTGCAAGCGATGCTTTCCCTGTTCATCGAAGTTCTTGCCAAGGCGGGAGGTCGTTCGGATGACTGGGTTCATGCAGATTGGAAAGCAGCCCTAGCTCGGGCTGCCAAGGGTTAACGATCACCATCGACCCACCCACCTCATGGCCCAAAAGCATTTGTTGGGCCTTTGCATCAGGCGCCACATAACCCCAGCTAAGGCTATCAAAGAATATGATTCGTCTTCTCCTGTTCACTGCCTGCCCAAAACGGACCTCGCCGTGAAACATAGAAATTCCTAGCAAAGCCTCCCACTTGGTAAACGTAGTGTTGTGCCATTTCAGGTTGGAGTCTTCTCACTGCGCCTTGGCCTGTATATCTGCTGACTTGCGATTGATTTCGGGCATTTCGAGCAAGTCGAGACCGCCGAAGCCAAGTTCGAATCGGCGAAGCCTGCAAGGTTGGCCTTTATCTTTCTTCCTAGTTGGCATCCAGATCCTGTGTCGACGGAATTGCCAGATGCAAGGGAGGCCTGCAAGGACTTTCCCGATTATCAGATGCTTGATGGCAAAATGATGTGACAAGAGGGGGTATCGAAACAGGAAGGACTTTGTATTTTGCAGCAAAGTGCTTTATGCACGGCAGATCGTGGGGACGGGGAAAAAGCAGCCAAAACACTCGAGAGCGCTAGTTGCATTTCCTGAGCTTCGTCTGCGCGGGAGCGTCGTCTCTTAAACACAAACCGAGATTCAGCAAAACCTGCCCAAACGCAGGGTGCGCGAATGCGCGTCCTACCTCACAGTAGGGCCCCTGCAGAAGAGGGGATGCGCACGGGCCGACATGTTCATGAGTTCTTCATCATGTGGCTGAGGATTTGCGCCAGCATGACTGGTTGCGATTCAAGAGATGACCCGTTGTGCTGCAGCGGCAGCCCGGGCAGCAAAGGGTGCAAAAGTGGATGAGCGCCATCAAGGGTGCTGGCATCTGAGGTACCCTGCTGTGTGCCAAATCCTTCCTAAGCTTTGCCACCAGGCTGCAAACAAGTGCATAGCTACGTGACAGCCAGAAGGGCAGTGTCTGTCAATTGGTCGATGTTCTGACTTTCTGCTAAGGACAACCGGCGCCTCCTGTTCGAGCAATGGCTCTTGGGTCCATTCATCGTTTGCCCTGCCCCTACATTCTACCTGTCCTTCTACCGCAGCTCTTGATATCAGCGCGCTGCTCGTGATGTGCAAAGGTCCATTTGTCGACATGATCCCGGCAGTGCTTGCACCTCTGATCGCTAAGCGACTAAACAACTGGGCCGACCAACAGGACAAGTCACAGGCCAGGCAGTGGCCAGGCAATCTCAGTGCTGTCACGCCGTCAAGAAAAATAATGCATGTTGTCCTCAACACAGGAACGTCGAAGCGGCATCTGCGGACGCATACGCAGATGTTTGGCGCGATGGTGTTGTCTCTGCTGTGGTGTGCCACTCACACGACTGTGATCTAGCTGCAGTTTGCGAGTTCCACCGAAGCCAACGCATGTCTCATAGTGCAGGCAGGGCAGGTCGAGGACAGAAATTAAGAAAATGTTTGGACGAGGAGGTTCCACCATGTTCCACACCTCCATCCCAGCTATTTCCTCCTCAGGGTTGCTGTTTTAACTTCATTTGGCCGGTCTCGACAGATGGGCCTGCTTGCACGCGTCGTACTGCATGGTTCAGGAGACCAGTATCCCATGTTGTGATGTTCTTAGGGCTGTCGGCCAAAGATTCCCTGGACCCAGCCTGGACCGAGTAGATCCATTTTAACATGCATGCAAGCTGAAGGCTGTCTCTCATCTTCGTACTGGATGCTGAAGTGACTGGACTACGCCCCTTGGCGTCTAAAGTCACTCTAACATGTCGGGTCAACGCAGTATTCCTAGGCTATTTATGCTGCGGCCGCACATTTGCCACAACAGAGCTGGACGTGTCAGATGCTGACGACGATTGCTGCACCTCGGTTGCACTCTTCACCGTGCGCACATGATTGGCAGTAGAATTTTCAGAGAGGTCACAAGAGCAACTTATTGAAAAGACGGGTCATTTCTCAGAGCTTGTCCAGATGTCTTCACCCACACATACATTCATGAAGGTGAGCGATGCCTGGACGGACCGTTGGAACAAGTCGTCTTGCGGGAGTTCGATGCGCTTGATGAGCTAAAGGACCAGTGAATGCCAGTGACTGAAGCAAGAGCTGCACTGCGATGCAGTTCCGGTAATGTCATTGGCCAGAAGCAGCCGCTGATGTCGCCAGGACATCAAGCTGAACTTCCTTTTTGTAGCGCTTTTCGCACCAGTGCTGCCATGGGGTATCATCCCGACACTGTTGGCAAGACTTCTAGAAGTGCGTTGCAAAATCCCGCGTGCTGGCTGCATCAATTTGTGTGATTTGTTGGTGCAGCTGATTGCCGCTGATCCACTGCGCAGCTGTTCTCAGGAAGCTCTTCCTGGTGCGGCGGCGGAGCTTTCCTCGCGACGCACAACTGCTGCATAGCACGCAGGAAAGCTTCACTGCAGCTGAGCCACATTCATGACTGCATGCAGAGGTCATGTGGTCATATGTGGTCCGCGTAGTTGTGCGATGGGTCCAACGAGCACGAACCGCATCAGAGGCAGCTCCGCATTGCAATTGCCAAGGACGTGGTCACATCATTTGCTGTGTTTTGGTATCTGGGGCTATCACTGGTCACGTACAACACTGAACTGTACGCCTGGAGCGAAGTGGAGCTTCTGCTGATCTGGCTTGGCTTGGGCTTTGCTGGATCGGTACTGGTCAGCTCCTTGCCTATGGCTATGGGGAGCGGGATCATGGTTCGCCTATGTTATATGGGGGATATTGACGGCCCGAATATTGCAACACGTCACACCCTGAACAATCAAGGCTTGGCCGTTCGATTCCTTCAGAGCCTCGGGCCATGACAAGGGCCAAGGGTGTTGTGAGTTGTGACATTCTCAGGTTATATCCGTAGAAACCAGATGATAGCTGTGTTTCCGAGCGGTTGAAGGAAGTATGTTGAGAAGCGTGCAAGCGCTGCTGGCTAGCCACTGGAGTGGGCAAGCAAAATGAAGAGTCAGCATCTCAGCCGCACATCAACGTAGCACAAGTGTGACAGGCTTTTGTTGAAAGATGCCTTGCCAGGCATGGAAATGGTTTGCGGAGGAGACGCCCTCCTCAAGATTTCTTTGAGTCAGCTGCAAGTCGGGAACCCGATTGATTCTTACGCAATCTCCAAGAGATGTGCTTGCAAATGACAACGGACGGCTTAGCCGCAAGTAACCCTGCGATCTCCGTGCTTACGTCCAGTTACACGATGTGAATGGCACTGTAACCTCAACTTGTTCGCCTACTTCGCAGCCTTGTGCAAGGGTGGCTTGGTCAGACTGCTAATAAGAGAGGACCCCCGGCCTCGTACAGTACGTTATTTTGCCGGGATGTTGGAATTCAGGTCACGAAAAGCGCAGTGCCGAGCTTGATCAGGTGCAATCTGTCACCCCCTGAAGTTAACCCCCATCGTCAGTCAGCATCGGGAAGGAGACATCTGGCAAGAGTTTTTGGCAGTCAGCAAAATCTAACCAATCCGTTGGAGGTTTACGCCCTGTAGTTCTTGCTCGAACGCAGATTCGAGCGAACCCTGCAGCTCCATTCTGCCTGACATGCACCATGGCTAAGTACACTCACTGCAGGCTGAACCTATTCGCACATACAACACAGAGTCGGGCGCACGGGTAAGCTGGAAGACTAAGTTATGGAAATGGGATGCCTGCGTGAACTCAGCTTAGCAGAAGGCCAGGGGGCTTAGTAGCGGCCGGGGGCTTAGACCGTTTAAACCTAAACTGGGCGTCAGCAAAGCCCGGAGTATTGCCTCCCTTTGTTTTGCCCAACTTTACGTCTTATGTTGTTAAGATGGCCACAGATTTTATTACTTCTTGCAATGACCCGCTACTCCGGTGCCCCCTGAGTTATCCAACAGCACCAGGCGCCATGATAAACTATCTGGGGAGGTGCAGACTTGCATATTGCCATGTAGCGCTTGATTTGGGAATCCGCCTCTTCGGCCAGGATTTGACTGTAAAGGGTTCGTGCCGAAATGCCCGATGTCAGACCCAGCAGAATGTAGATGAGTAACTCGCCACAGCAGCTCTCACGGCTTCAGACCACAGCGCCCTGCCTTCAGTTTTTATGTTTAAATAGGGCGCGACCGCAGCTGAAAGCGCACTATACTTCCTTCAGAAGCTGGCACCTCTTACATTTCAGCTTGGCCTGAATGCAAGACAGCAGTCGAAGTAGAAGCAATAGAAAGGAATAGCACCAATTCCTCTATGCTGTTAGTGCAATGCCTTGACTACACGCTCTCTCCAGCCATGGCGCCTTTGACTGTGATATCGCCACAGCCAGAGGCAAGGGGCTTGCAAGCGCGGTTCAGTGTAGAACAGATTTTTTTTGACTTTCTGCCAGCATCCACGGTCAAAGAGCTGGTGTCGGAGCTAGTGAATCCATGCAGCATGCTAAGAAGCTTCTCGTGCCAGACAGGTGTGCCGACAACACTGGTTGACATCCGAAACCCTCCATGAAAGAAGTTTTAGGTATGGCACCAGGCACAAGACGAAAATCTGAGCTTATTGAATGAGGTCCTACAGCGTAGCACAGCAGAGCTACTACGTTTTCAGAAACGGCTTTTTGCACCACGATGCCGGGTCCATCAAACTGCGAGGCGGTGGAATTCCGTGTTGCGCGAGATGGATGGGGACTCGGATATACTCGGATCTAGGTTTCAATAGGGCCGAATTGCTTGAAGCAATCTGAGGCTCATTGAATGCATGGGTGAAGCTTCGGAACACGTGCCCTTGTGGCAAGAGCTGTATTGGCTGTGCTCTACGCATGTCCCAGCGTGTGGCCCGCCATCATGGGCACTTGTTGCACTTGTTGCTTTGCCTTAAGGTGGAGTGGCCAAGTTGCTTACAAAATGAAGACCACCGCTCCAAAAGACTTTACCATCAAGCGCGGGCACTCATCGGCCCAACTTCGACAGCATTGCACGCTTTGAAGTTTGAAGAGATCTTTGATGCGGTATGCCTCGCAAATGAACAGAAGGCGGCTGCGGCAGACAGCAGCAGATCCGCCCCGGTGCCCCTAAGGCCCGCGTCCGGTTCAATCCGCCAGGGAGAGTTCCACGATGTGCAACCGGGCAAAGTTATGCAATGTTTCTGTGCTTAGCTGTCTTCACGAAACCAGTCTTCCGAGGCAGATCACGCGAAAGTCACCGGAAGAAGGAGGAAGTCCTGACAGCAGCCGTTTGCCTGGGAAACGTTCCAAACATGCTATGTGTCGCAAGCAGTGAGCACAAGGCAAGAAGGTCAAGTTCCTCATTCAAGCCTCTTTGCCCGCGGTTGTGACGGGGGTGCTGTGGATCGAGTTGCCCCCTCTTTCGAAATCCCCGCGTCAGACGCCACGAGGCAGCTGGTGTGACAACGCAAGCGCCGGACCCGCACTGGAGAGTTTGGCAGGATTTGCCAGGTAGATGCAAGCAGTGGCCTTTCACATGTAGACCGTTTAGACCCAGGCCCAGAAGCTCCTTTTATATGCCGCTGATAAAGGCAAAGCTGCGGGCAGGACGCATGTTGCATCGTTCTTCCTGCGTTATTGAAATCGAAACAATCCCCGGCTTCACGTACTGGTAGGGCCGAGGCTTTGTAGCAACTTATTTGTCCTCACATCTGACTCATGAAGCTGTTTTTGCCAGGACAAAGTTTTGGGACAGCATCCCCAAAGAGGTGTAGCTGGGGTCACCCGCATGCTTTCGCTTTGCATTGGGTTCGCTGTCGGTGGATGGGGGCGCTGCTTTCTGTCCAGAGGATCTCCAAGAGCAGCAGCTACCGGTGAAGATGCCAACCGAAGAGCCTGAAGAGTTCGAAGACGCGTTGGAGGATCCCATCCTGTTGAAACATGTTGAAACTATGCCGCGTCAGGCTGTGTAGACCCGACCACGTCAGGTGCCGTACAATGCGGAGCAGTCCGCAGATGCCACCAGAAGTGAGCTATGGAAAGCCCGCAAGGCAAGATCTCAGGAGCCCAGATCATGCATTGCTGTCCTTTCCACTTTTGTAGCATGTTGCACGAGACAGGAATTCCGAGATGAAGAAGGAGGCGCGTGGACTTGGCGTACCCCAATTTCTCATTATCACCTGTTATGTCCATCTGTTCCCAAATGCTTCTGTTAGGGGCGGATGACCATGCAGGGGGTCCAGGAGCCGGCAGAGGCCCTGTCGAAGCTTTCGAGGCGGCCGGGGGTTTTGAAACGTTTTGAAGGAGATAAGTCAGCGGATGTCAGCGGTCAGCCAGTGGTCAGCCATTCGTCGAGCACGCTTCGTCGCCATGGCTTTTCAATGCCATCATTGCAGCAGACGAATTACCGTATCATGACAATGGCCGCACGGCTCTGCGACTCTTCCCGGCCCCTTCGCGCGCGGCATGCCGTGTCTGCCATGAAAAAGTTCTCCAGAGTGTGTGTTGGAATCGATTTAGGAGGTGTCTGCAAAGAGGCTGCAGCTGCGGTCCACAGCATTTCTCTTTCAGCTGCCACAGCCAGACCCAGTAAGTTTAACGCTACGCGATCGTGTGAAGACCAAACTCACCGATTCCGTGCGGGTGAGGGGGGGGTGGGGGGGCGGGTTGGGGGTGGGGGTTTGGGGCAAAATGCGCCCTGGTCCTAATGCACGGTCAGGTCCCGCACACTTGTCGGCCAGGGGCGGTACCCTTTCCAGGCAAAAAAGTGGCAAACGAGGGGCGTGCAGGTGGGGTACCTGCTTTATGCTCGCTAGACACCTACGGCCCAAGGCCTCGGCGGATTAGTCATCAAACCCGGGCTCCTGCATAAGATTGCGGTCGTGCTCTCTATAATGCTGGTTTTCCCGCTTGGTTTCGATGGCATTCGCTGTGGCCAGCTGGCCACTCTGTGGCCCTTCGTAAGAGACAAGTGCTTCAGGCCGGAGAAGCGGTCAAAAACGATCTCTGGCAGGTGCCACATAGCAAAGGGCGCAAGGGCGATGGTCGCGGGGAGACCACGGAGGCCATGTGGCTGCAGATTGCGTAGAGTACGGCGTAGAGGATGTCGAGGATGTTGAGGACGTTGAGGATGTTGAGGACTGTGGGGCTCTGTGGTGAAAGCGCACCCGTGGCAGCCACATGTGGTCGCGAGGCTGCTGACAAGGCTCCTCGCAAGCCTGGTTATCCTGGAGGACGGTTTTACTTGGTCAGCGGCAGCACGATGCAACGGGGGATTAACAACTCGGGTTTCTCCATGCTGTCTTGGTCAGGGAAGCTCACAGACCAAGACGTTGACGACATCGTTGGGCGAATGACCAAAATTGGACCCGACGGCAAGCCAGTTGTGCAGGCCAGTGCGGCCACCTTTTTGAGAGGCCGACAGGTTTGTTGTGTTTGGTGCCAGCCTCAGGTTGTAAGGCCACCTGGTCCCACACCTCCGGGCTTTGAAGGCAGCATTTTGCTTAATGGTCGTCGCCCGCCTCGATGTTCATTTCATGCCAGAGTTCAAAAAAAATTACCCATGTTGAACATTCCAGGTCCGGAGCCGGCAACTTCCTCTCCGTCTTTAGGACCATGCCCTGCTCCAGATGTGCCAATGTTGCCAGCAGAGCGCAAGCCTTTGCAATTGAACACGGTTCGAAGCCGAGCATGACCCATTCAGCACATGCCGCAGCTGCGAGCGCTACGTATCGCATTCGCTGGCGACGTGACTAAGGTCCACAAGGCTCAACGGCACGACGTTGTGCTTCAGGGCCAGTTGCTCAGGGGGAGCAGCTGGCAGCATTGACGGCTATGACTCCGATGAGTTGGCATTCTCCTCGAGGCCATTCGCGCCCAGTCACCTACGTGGCTTTTGATGCACCGGGGAAAACTCTGTACACTTGCGGCAAGGACAGCGTCATGCTTTCTTATGAGCTGAGACACTCAGACGGTAAATATCGGCAGACAGGACAAGCTTGTCATTGCCTGGAGTGTGCCGGACGGTGAGTTCTGGCCTCAGCGAGGTTGTTACCAGTAGCTACTCAAACTTGGCTCAGCTTGTTCCTGCTTGTTCCTGTGCTTGTTCCTGCGCTTGTTCCTGCGCTTCTTTAGGTGTCTCCGCAAGTACGAAGGACACAGGCGGGACAAGAGCCAAACACGCAGTGGCTCTGTGGCTATGCGTTTCTCCTGAGCAGCAGGGGGGCTGTCTGGGCTTGCTCCCTCAACAACGACGAGGGACTGCTGCTGACCTGCGGCGCAGACAACTTCGTACTCCTATGGGAGGCGGGCGCACTGTTCAGTCTGATTGGCAACGACAATATCAATCGGTAATTTTAACGCTACGCGACCCGCCTCGGCCCGGCCCAGCGCATCCGCGTGAGCATGGTGATTCCGCAGCGCCCAAGTCGCTGGACCCCAAGCAATAAGGGTTGGGTTGAGGGTTGAGGGTTCCGGGTCTATGGTTTATGGTTTGGGGTTTGGGGTTGAGGGTTAGTTTAGGGCTCAAGGTTCACGCTTTGGGGTTGAGGGTTTTTTGGGTTCGGCTTGGAGTGATCGCCCCCCCCCCACCCCCCCCACCCCCACCCCCCCCCCACCCCCCCCACCCCCCCCCACCCCCCCCCCCCCACCCCCCCCCACCCCCCACCCCCCCACCCCCCCCACCCCCCCACCCCCCCCCCCACCCCCCCCCCACCCCCCCCACCCCCCCCCCCCCCCCCAACCCCCCCCCCACCCCCCCCCACCCCCCCACCCCACCCCCCCCCCCCCCCCCACCGCCCCCACCCCCCCCCCCCACCCCCGCCCCCCACCCCCACCCCCCCCCCCAACCCCCCCCACCCCCCCCACCCCCCCCACCCCCCACCCCCCCACCCCCCCCCACCCCCCCCACCCCCCCCACCCCCCCCCCCCCCCCACCCCCCCCCCCCCCCCCCACCCCCCCCACCCCCCCCACCCCCCCCACCACCCCCCCCCACCCCCCCCACCCCCCCCACCACCCCCCCCCCACCCCCCCCCCACCACCCCCCCCCCACCCCCACCCCCCCCCCACCCCCCCCCCCCCCCCCCCCCCACCCCCCCCCCCACCCCCCCCACCCCCCCCACCCCCCCCCACCCCCCCACCCCCCCCCACCCCCCCCACCCCCCCACCCCCCCCACCCCCCCCACCCCCCCCCACCCCCCCCCACCCCACCCCCCCACCCCCCACCCCCCCCCCCACCCCCCCACCCCCCCCCCACCCCCCCCACCCCCCCCCACCCCCCCCACCCCCCCCCCCCCCCCCACCCCCCCCACCCCCCCACCCCCCCCACCCCCCCCACCCCCCCCCCCCCCCCCACCCCCCCCACCCCCCCACCCCCCCCACCCCCCCAAAAAAAAGGGGTCCGAAAAATGGGTGTGGGGGGAGGATTGGAGGGGGGTGCCTGTTCTGACAACCTATACACCTCCGGCCCGAGGCCTCGGCGGATTGCTGTAACCGCGAGATGTTCTGGATGATCTGCGTTTTGTCGAGGGATGGTACTTCGTCAAAGGACATTTTCAGCATGTTTTAGCTGTTGATCTGCGTTCTGAACCCGCAGGCATACTCTCCTTGACCTGCCTATTGCAACCTCCACAGTGCAAACAAAGTCCTGTCCTTTGGCGTCTGGACTTGGTCATAAAACGTCATCTACACTATGCCTACGCCCTACGCTGCCCTCTGCTCGGTGGGATCACATGACCTTACTTGTTGCAGGCGGCTTCTGCCAAGCTGCTCTACGAGGCATGGCCCTCGGCAGGTCCAAGCACTGAAGGCATTTGCCTGTACATGTGTGGATCCGGTCCAGGTGGAAATGCCGGGAGTGGTGCGATGTGTGGAATGGTCACATGGGCTTTGTTTGCGCTTCGCTTGCTGCTGCAACGGCTTCAAGGCCTGTGAAGGATCGGAGAGTGCAGCAATCAGAAAAAACTCATATACAGGCAGTCACTCACACAAGAGCATCATCTGCTCAGCTTACTGCCAACTGATTCTGAGCAAAAGGTGCTTTCAAGCTTGCAAGCTTGGCTTTTGGGGCTCCACAGAGATGCTCAGCATGGCTCAGCTTTGCTTTCTGCAAGGCGCTGACATGCGCTGTCGGTTTGAAAACCCGGCCTGTCAGCTTCTTACCGATGTCCGCGGCCGGGATGCGCTGTTGCCGAGAGTCTGGCCGGCGTGCACCGTTTAATGATTAATGGGAAATGACGCGTCTGGTCCGGTATAGGCAATAAGTCGTGATGCTGCCTCCGGCCCTTCGTGGCGCCGACATGCGCCAACTTGTCATTGTGTCTTTCTGTCTTCTCCTGCCAGCACGTGCAGTCGGCTCCTTGGCGCTTCTGCAGAGAATACGTTCACTCTAATGCCTGTTATGTGCGTGTCCTCGCCTGCCTCCGTGACAACTCACCACCGGAAAATGAACACCTGAATTGGCGCAGTCTTCAGAAAGTCCTTCCGGCTGAGCTAGCAGAGGCCTCAAGCGAACGCATGGTCTTTACAACTGCGCAGAGGGCGTCAAGAGCCTCAGAAAGCGAGGACAAGCACGAAGACCGCTGACCCAGCAACAGCTCACTGTCTCGCCTCCTGGTGGCGATTCTGGCATTGCGCAGATCCACCAGCACTAAGCAAAGTGATTCTGTTCTGCAGGGCCAGCACGCACCAACCAATAATATGAGTGTCTCAATCACAGTGCTGAGCCTCAGCGCTCGCCAAGAATTCTGTGAAACGTGTTGCCCACGGGCCCATTCCAAACAGTAGATTGATTAGGAATGAGCAACAAGCGCACCAATGCCACAACGATCCTTGCATGCGTTGGCACGAGTGCAGCGACGCTAAAAAGATTCTGTGTCAAGAAGACCGTGCATCTTGATGCTACTGATGTACACCAGCGTAGCAACAAGCAGAACAACTACAAAGTCCGACAAAGGGATCCCTGCCTGAGACGCACAGGGAGTGAACTTCGAAGCATGCAAAGCCGAATATACATGCAGCATGTTCGCAGTTTTGAAGATTTGGGCCCTACAGCTTAAATGACATGAAGTTGGTCACGTTGTTGTTAGTCCTTGAACAGGCGAAGCCAGCAGCTGTAGGCGTGTTCGAGCTCTCTACACCGGGTGGCGCCTGCTGCTCGGGCAACTTTCTGGATCTTTGCGCGAACTCGGGTTGCGCAAATTGTGTCATGTGGCCCCCGCATCCGAATGGATAAGCAAGGTGCTAAGTTCTAGGTGTTGCACTTCGATAGAGGTGCCAACGCTTGAAGCTCAGTTGGTTCGCTTCTGCATGGACTGAACATGCCGCAACGCATGGAGAGTGCGATTTTCAGGCTGCCGTCTGTGGCCACTCAAGTTGCTTGGGCTGGACCCTACTGGGAATGGCTGTGCTCTTTACACGAGCCTGGACAGCAGAAAAGGCAACATTTTCGACAGACGATGGGGAACACGAGCGTTTTCAGTGATCTCTGAATGACGAGGACGGTGGTCTCATCATCTTTTGGAACGCGCTCACGGGGTCGGAATTGACTAGGTTGACTGCGCACAAGGAGCCAGCACATGTCCCTGTTGTTGACCTGTCTTGAGCCTGCAATGGCAGGGTATGTGCAGCTTCGGGTTTCCGCTTGTCCTGTTTTCAGCTAACAGCTGGTAGAAGCATCTTTCCCATCGAGATTCGCAAATGTCTTTGTCACGGAACCACGCCCGGCAACTTCTGGGTCTCTACACACCCATCTAAATCACCACGGGCCAGGGCTTCGTGCTTTGAGAGCGAAGCGAAACATGCGCAACACATGCGAGACGAACGGAGGCCATCGGAGGCCTGAGGCCAGGCAATGTTTTTGTAATCGCTGTGGAACGTGGAGGAACAAGTAGCGCAAGACTTGCGCAGCAACCGGGCCACCCAAAATGGAAGGGCGTCGTATGATGCCGCCTTGGTTAGCAACCACGGTTCAGCAACAACGCTTCAGCAACTGTTGCATGCCAACTACAGTTCAGCAAAGTTCAGCAATCAAAAGGAACCCACGCATGCGAGCCGGAAACCAACAATTAACGACACAAGCGAAGATAGATACAACAAATCGCCAACAAGCTGCCCATACCGGTTTACAGTCCTTAGAGCGGCAGTGAGCAATGACTGACGAACATGCAAGAACAATCTCGAGAGACAGCGAAAGTTCATGGCCTTTCCTGGTTTTCATTGAACTCAAGAGTTCATGGCAACGCTGCGAGGTGCTAGATCTCCACAACATTTTAGCATCTCCAAATGTCTACAGGGCCTTGTAAGTGGTGATTTGTTTTGACTCTGTTCCCTGCCCTTCTCAGCCATTGGAGCGGAACTTCGAGACCACGGTACGCTGGACCAGCCTCGGATGTTGTATCCACGCACGCGTGTGCACGCCAAATAGGTTTGCCGCGCAGAAAATGATGGCGGAATTAGGGGGCTGTACTCGTAGTTGTCAAGCGCTGCTGGGTTGAACTGTCAAGGGCTTGTCCATGTCCCCAGAATGCCCAAATGGCCGAAAGACTATCCAGAGTCTAGCTCCAGAGCCAGCCTTTTCGGGAGATGGTGTCCAGGATCGCATTTCCAAGCGATGGAAGGCTCATGGTGTCGTGTGGGCGGCAGGACATGGAGGCGCGAACAAAAGGGGGATGGCATCTTGGCCAGGGCTTGATGGGGCAGGTCCGGCTATGGTGCCTGGCCCGCGAGAAGGAAGACGACGAAGGTAGCGACTTCGAAGACATGGAAGGCAAGTATCTCTGAGCAACCAGTCCCAGCCGAGTTTATTCGTCGAAGACAGGAGAGAACCCGATGCCCGAGCTGATGCGGAACTTCGTCTGCGATCGCCCGTTGAATTGCGTGGCGGTGCGGCCATCGCAACCTGCCAGCAAGAACTGTTCAATCCTGCATGTCCGGCATTGTTTAGTTGCCTGGGCTGTGACGGTCTTCTGGGTACGGCTAGAGGCGAGTTTGGGTGTGTCAATACTTGCAGAACAGAACTGGTGCACGTGATCGACCACATACTTTCAACATCTTGCAACAGCTTGGCTGCACCTCTTTTCATGTGAAGTTTGGCTGATTGGTGCAGCTCCGGCTATGACGGCTACGACAGCTGGGACATGTAGCAGCTTCAAGTTGCTGCAACATGCACAGAAGGTTCAAGAGCCCGCGGACTTGAAATACATGGGAAGTCGTACTGTTACTGTAGAAGGTCTTGAATCTTGAGCCGAGAGCCAAGGCTGACGTTCGCCGATGCTGCTTGCGAGGACATCTCGGCACCTGCACCATCTTGCACTAGGTCGTTGTGAGGTGTGTTCACAACTTTGCTTTAGTCGTCATCGCCCTCGGGAAAAGTCCGTGCACCGGCTAGAAAACTGCTTCCGCGTCTTCTTTGGAGGAAGCGGAGGGGGGTGTGTGCACGGTGCTGGCCGGCGGCGGCCAGGATGCCCGCGACGTGGCGCTGATCGGTGTTCCAAGGCTGCAACTGGTCCAGCGCCCGAGGCTGCTCGAGCATGCTCGCGTGACAGGGCTGCATCCTCCGTGTTCTTTTCTCCAACCTAGGCTGGGACAGATGTGGATCAGCGCTCCGGCAGCCATCTACGAGCAGTCGTCATACAGATTTTGTGATGTGAGTTTCGTACCTCAGCAAGGCGTGCTTAGCTATCCGAATGGAACTTAACCTGAAAGTGGCATTGTGTACAGCACTGTTTCTGTGTCGCTGATGGCACAGTTCGAAGAGCTGCATGTGTTTCCGTTCGCGAATGTTCTGTGTTTTCTCCCAAGTGCATCTGCGCAAGTAAGCGTACACACATCGGATGCCAAATCGAAAAATCAGGGCACTGTTGATAGAATTCTCCCTTGGCGCTAGAAGACATTGGAATCAGCAGATGTTGAAAAGGCTCCATCGTGGAATTGGCAGATTCTGTCAGACCATCCTGTCTTTAGGGTCTTGCTCGGAACAGGCATGCTTTAGACTTTGGGGCTTTTCACTTTTGGGCGAAACTTCGACCTTCATTTTACGGTAAGGAGGCCAAAATGCCAGGCACAATCTTGGCTTGACAACGGTTCCTGCTGTTGAGAATTGCCCCCATCCTTTCGCAGTGGTGTCTTCCGTCTTCCTGTCTGCTTTTATCTCAAGGTTCGAGCCTTTGCCGCTCAGATTCGCCAGAGTTTCAGCTTCAGACTCAGACTCAGCACCAGGCCGGTCTCCAGTCTTGAACAAAGTTGCTTCGGAGCGCAAGCCCACCACAGAAGATGCAGCTACCAGTGCCGGCACTCACCAGAGTGTCCCTTTGCAGGACTGGAACATTGTCCAGCAGAGGGGCCGCAACTGAGCCGCAGAGAACTCGCAGACCCCAAAGCTTTTTCGAGAATAGATTCGAACAGAGATGGAGCATAGAACGAAGTATTCTTGCAGCAGCTTATCCCTCTTTCTACTTGGGTTAGAATGTTTGGGCTAGATGTCCGCGCCGATGCTGTGAAGTGAGGTGGGACCCGAAGCTCCGAAAAGGCGGCCACTTTGGAATCCGCCTCAGACGAAAGCAAACTTAGATGAACGTGGAGCGAAGGGTGCTTTAGTCATGTTTGCAAACATTAAGCTTACATGCTGCGTCTGATGGCGCTATAGGACCAATCCATGCCTTGGCTTTCAGCCCCGACGCTGCTTGGAAAGCACTCCCATGACTTGGGGCGAGGTACTGTCAGGATGCCCATCCAGGTAAATATCAATCGAGAACTAGCGAGCTAGGGCAGCAAGAGGCACGTAACCAGAAGTAGCCAGGGCATCGCTACGTCTCCAAGCCCTATGCAGCCGCACTCTCGCTTTCTTGAGATCCTTAGCACGGGTTTGAAAGAGTCCTCGTTCATTCGGCCTATCTAGATGCCAACAGTTTTCAAGTTGGGGCGGCGTCACGGGCACATTGGCAACCGACGCAGCACCTCTGCTTCAGGCTAGAATATGCGCCAGCGGCTCTGAGGATGGAAACGTCCGGCTGAGGGAGTTCTCCTAATGCAACTGCTCGCGTTGGGAAAGAGCTTGCACCGCTTGCAAAGAGGTGCTACACGTAGACTCAACGTAGACAGTCCGGCCATGGAATTCGGCAGCATAGTGCACACATGCGCTTATGCAAGCAACTATCTCGTCGTCATAGTCACCAGGCCCACTGCAAGTCTCAAAGAAAGGTCAGGTTTCTCCCAAGGGAAGGAATCAGCCAAGAAAAGAAGCAAAGGACACACCCACAGGAGTGCAGTTGAAATAAAGAAGTGACATGATGTGGGAGATGGTGGGAGACTTTTCATGCTTTTAGACTTTTACGAAGCTCAAGGCTCAATGCGCTGCTCAAGGCAAGGGCTTCATGCTCAGTCAAAGTGCTTTGATGGCGCTTTGGTCTGGAGGCCCTGGAAGCGACACATTCACTTTCAGCTACTCTGGAAATGCTCCGCTGAGTTGCAGCCCCTTCAGGGCAGTATGCTGGTGCCGCAGTTGCTGTTGCCTGCGCTTGTGATTACGGCTACCAAGAAGGTGCGCCCTGCTCCACCAAGTCGACGGAAGGCAAGAAGCACTGGCGCTGCCCAGAAATCCCAGAAGCATCACAAGCGCTGTGGCGGGGTGGACGTAATGGAAATTTCAGTGAAAACCGATCAGCCAAATGCTGTCATCGAACTGCTGCTCGGGTTTGGAGCTAGTTCTGCCTCTTCCATGGAGGCAGTCACAGAGTCGGCGACATCAGCAATAGTAATTGCACACTTCGAGGGTCCACCCGCGGCTCTAGCCAACCTGGATCTAGCACACATGGGATCCATCATACAGGTGGCACTGGATTTGCCCAGCGCGCCTGTCTTGGCTAGCCGCTTGCTGGGTGGCGCCTGGAGTGAGTACTTCCCTCTGTCCGAGTCCATTGAAGTCCGCTTACCCTGCCATGATGGACCAGGTGGTGGCATGCTGAGTGAAGCAGGGAGACGCGTGCTGCGCTTGGAGGGTGGCGTGGCATTTGGGGCAGGTCGCATGTATTGAATCAGGCAAATATTTCAGATGGCCCACTTTGTGGGAACAAACTTTGACCGTCAGAATGACCCTCAGAGGGAAGACAGCGACAGATCTGAGGTGATCATCCAACTACAAGGGGTGTGGCAGCTTTCCTGGAAGGCGTGCTGTCAAGGTCAGGCAGACACTTGACCATGCTAGCAAATCCTTTTAATTTGCTGTGAGCTTCTCGTCTCGGTCGACATGAATTTGTGGGCCTGTGTTGAGGATAACTCGTTCTAAGTCTGCACAAGGCCCGCCCAGCCTTCGACTTTTGGATTATGGAACTGGATCTGGAGTGCTATCAATATGTGTCTCTCGCACGTGCATGTTCGCAAGTCTGTGAGTCTATCCTATCGTTTTGTTATGGTAAGTGAAGGGTGTGCTGCATCCAGGGGGCAATCCAGCACAATTTGCGCCCCAGGCTTGGATGCTTGGGGCAAGATACACGCTGGGCGTGGACATCGACACAAGCGCCATCGCATCTGCCACGCGAAGTCTTGCGCTGAATGAAGCAGTGGCTGCATCTGACAACTCTGGGACAGTCGACTTCAGTCTTGTCTCTGCCTCTCCGGAGGAGGCTGCAGAACAGATTTCAGATGTGGTGAAGGCCTGCTAAGGGCGACGAAGGGCTCGGTGGCGGGCCACAACGCCTTAGAATCCATGACTGCCCCGCACCGAGCCCCGTTTCGCAACCAAAAAAGCAAAAGTACTCTTACAGGATACATTCGGATACATTCGCGCACCTCGTGCATTTGGATATTTTGGCTGAACCTTCGAAGACGGAACAACCTGCCCCCGCCAATCGAGGGCATTAGTTGAACCATCGTTGCTTGAAACCTGAGTTCTTTAGACATTTGGGACTCGGGCCACTCGCTGTCTCTTTGGACCTCCAGTCGTGATACATGCACCTTGAACCCTACAAAAAGACCCTAAACTCTGCCCTCAGCCCTAATGCAGAGGTTGCCCCACAGTTGCAGGAGGATGGGCCGTTTGACATTGTCGTGGCCAATATATTGTACGAACCGCTCCTGCAGCTCGTGGACACACTGGCTTGCGCTGCAGCACCGGCTGGGAAACTCTGCCTGTCGGGTGTGCGCAGCCTTCCGGATTTATCTGCCGTGGAAGCACTTCAAGTGGCATATTCGAAGCATTTCACGAACTTCCAGATAACAGATGCTGGTGCCGGATGGTGCGTCGTAACAGCCGAAAAACTGCAGCTGCATGTGGCAATCAGAACCATGGACTGCTCAAGCGTTCTACAACACAGGTGTGTGCAGACAATGGGCTTGCATCCCCAGCTCAATGATTCACCGCCCATATCCGCCAAAACCCAGGCTCGAAGCTGCTCAGAGAATGCCTTATATAGATCCATCGAACTTGTCCATGTAATGTCGAGAAGTCATGCAACTTGCGATGACACAAACTCCGCACAAGTCTACTGGGCAGTATTTCGTCGAACGGAGGCAACGTTCTCTGTTCACCTGTCTGATATATGCAAGAGACCACGAGGCGCTGCCGGCGACATGTGGTGAGTAGAGTAATGCCGGAGCTTGGAGCTGCCTTTGCCTGTGAGAGAGAGAGAGAGAGTAATGCAGTGTAAGCACCGCGTTGTGAGCAGCGGCAGAGGTCAAAAGTTCCCAAAGCGGATAGACTGGATAGAGTTGGAGCCTGCTCCCTGAAAACATGTGATGAAGGGCTTTCCGTGCGCAGTCCTGGCTCGAAGCGTTTGCTCAGAGCAGACATATCCGTCCAGGTTGTCTGTAGGAGAAGCTAGGCAGCTCGGCGTCTCCATCCCATGGGGCAGGTGACCAGCCGCTGCATGGAAAGACTGCCCAAGATTTGTCAGAGGAAGGACACCGGAAATCTCACAGACGCTCAGGCTTTTCAGTGGAGATCCTCAGCCTCAGAGGGAGAAATTACAGTCGAGAGGGGGAAGCCAAACTCAGCTCATTCCGCAGTTATAGCCAGGGACGATGACGACATAACAGAGACGACACCCTTTCCCATCGATCGAAGAAGGCCACCTATAGCACGAAGAGAAGGATCTAACGGACCTAGCGGGTCAAGCGCATCATCGGCTCCGAGACCTTCAAGTGGCCTTGCTCAGCCCTTGCACAGGATCGAAGTCACTGCTGGCCGTTACGTGTACAACTTAGACCTTCATGGTAAGCCGGAGAGGGGACAGAACCTCAGGAGCTACTTTCAAGCTTGCAGTGAACACCGAAAGCTGCAGGTGACTACATCTTGTTTTGCGGCTTGGCGCAAGAACAAGAAAGTCAATGGCTTTGCAAAGATAATTCCGGTGGCAAAAGAGGGCAGTTGGTCAGAGCTTGGCGACACAAGACCGTTTCGAGTTTTCTTCTTTGATGATAACCTGGAATTTGGTGGAAAAGAAACCAGTCCTGGCATCTGCAACCTTAGAGACTTGGCCACCGGTCATTTCGTAGAGTTTGCAGAGGGGCAGAATGACTTCGTGCAAGAGCGCTTCGCGAGGCATACCATTGTGCAGCACAGCAAGCTGTGGCGAGCAGTACTTGTCAAAGCCAACATCTTAGATGCCATGGAAGACAAGGAGTACTTTGCGAGCCTCATCGCCAAATTTGCGGACCCATCAGAAATGCTGGTGGTTTTCATGGATGTGAATGCAACCATCGTATGCAACGACACCGTGCAGGGCAAGGACCTCGCAGTCACTCTCCTTGGCACGATGTTCGAACTTATGGAACTCAGACCCAGTCCACCGGGTTTCACTTTGACGTGGACAGGTCTCAACGAGATTCGCGTAGAAAAGATCCAGACGCTTAAGGCGCTTATCAAAAACATGACTGCAGATGACCACGAGGCATATACTAAGTTCTGGCAAGAGGACAACTGCTGGTCTTTCCTGTCTCATGTTCTGGAGCATGGAGAAGTCCGATGGGTCACCGGCACAGAGCCCATGACGCTCGCGGCGGTAAAAGACCTATTCAGTTCCTACATGCGCACAGTTCCATCGGCCTTGGACAGAGATGGTATCACAAACAGCTGGTTCCACGTGTATACAAACACGCTGAAAGACAGACACGCAACTATTTTGAATTCTTTCGGTGTGGACACCAGGAAAGTGACGCTTGCCACTGTCAAGGACGAGATGGACGTGCTCCATATCGCGATTAATCACGACATGTGGGATGAGAGAGATGTCAAGAAGTTTTCTGACCAATTTCAGTAGACACTCGCTGCCCTCGCCCAGACGGGACTGTTCTGTGTAAAGCCATGACATGCAGCATGCGGCATTCCACGAGAGTGGCGATTACTCCTGCGCCGCATAACTCATAAAGACATAAAGGAACTATCCCGCCAGTCCTACGAGCTATTTTCCAGTTTCCGCTGTGTTCGAAACTTTGAGAGGACTGTCCATGCAAGCGTCTTTAAGGTGTGTACGTGGCCAGTCTTGACTAATCTTGCAGATGCTGTGTAATCCTTTCGTCATGGACAGGCCTGTGCGTCTGGCTTCTGTACGTGCTTAGCAATTCAATGCCTGCAACGAGCTCTGTTCCTACATTGGTTTATGCTAGACTAGACTCGGCAGCTAGAGGCGGGAAACAAGTGGAGCAGAGACCAGAGTGCAAGATCGTGAAGCACATCAGTTTCACCACAGACCATGACATGCAAAGGCGGTGTACGAGTCCAGTGCTGCAGCACGAGAGATGCAAATAAGCATAGAGAGGCATACAAAATGCATACTGTACATGTTTGTGTATATCTTTACATGCATGCTACTTCTGTAAGTTCATGTTTAAGGAAATATTCGTGTACATCAAGCAAGTGTAAGGGCGTATAATTAAAACTAAATGCGCGCATGCGTGTGTGTGTATATATATATATATACATACTTACCTATCAGTTTTAAGTGCGTGTCTGTGTGCATATAAATACACGTATACACCTAAATACATACAGACCATACATACATGCATATATACATATATTACATACACAGGCGTTGTAGGACGCAGCAGCTAGTAAGGCAGAGGCTGGTCTCTCGAGTTGTCAGCTTGTCCAGCCTAAAGTGCTCGGCACAGTGACCAGCTCTGTGCGGAAAGCGGCATTTTGCTCAGAAGAGCAAAGTCCAAACTGTCTCGCAACAATCGTGAACTGATGAAGACTTGTCGTGTGCTTTGTGAAAAAATCTTGCAGTTCCTTAGTCCTGTGCTTGGCTCGTCAATTCATGTCATCATCCCATATCATCCCCACCCCTGAGTTGTGGAACGTCGTCAGAGCCATGTGAAGGATGTAATGAGTTGCGTGGCCAGGCATGCCAGCTCAGGGCCAGGACGCTGCAGAATGAAGGTTGGGATGGACTTCTGCATGTGCGGCACAGTCTTGTCACTGCACGTGCTTGCATGCAAAGGTTGAAATGCTTGCTGAACAGCGACGTCTGAGAGCCTGGAGCGGGGACTAGCCTGGACTAGCTCAAAATATCTGCGATGCCTGAGCTGTGCTAAGATCGCTGCGCGCTGCATCCTTTTCCTCCACTGAGCTCGAACCGCAAAGTTGCAAAGCGAAACGCGCTTGAAGGCTGCATCAAGCACGGAGAAGCAATACCGAAAATAGCGGTTGTGGTCGTTGAGCTGTTCTCACTGAGCAGTTAAAGGTGAACAGGACCATTGACTTGCCAAGCTCTAGGCACGCAATGGAGCTCGGAGCATTGATACGGGACTCAGCAGAGATGTAACGTCCTCTTCACGAGTCCGTGGTCAATGCCCGATCCAAGCGACAAACGGAAGCGCCTTCCTGGAGGACAGCAATCGCCATCAGCCGTTCCTGATGGTAAGCGGCGTCGAGTTGACCCTCCTGCCGATCAGGCTTCTTTTTGGGATGATGTTGCAAATGCTGGCGATGCCTCGCTACAATCCGAGTCGTTGCTCATGGACGTGCTTACGCAAACAAGTAGAGGTGATCTGCTGCTCAAAGATGCTAGCGTCTCTGAGTTGTTGAGCCGAAAGACCGGCCCGATCATGAAGATAACCGGCGCTTCACAATTGGCTCTCAAAGAGAATCGCTTGTACATTGGTGGCGGGCCAGAGGTGAAAGAGGCAGTCAAAATGTACGCGGACATTGTGATCCGCGCTGCGGTGCCATCTCAGTATGAGAGCTGCGATATGGTGCGACTGCACGTGTCCGAAGAGTTCGCTGCTGCCTTCGTAAGTAGAAAGAAAGGAGACGGCGATGTATCTGAGGAGGAGGAGATGGAGCGCTCTGAGGGAGTCTTAATCGTCACCGAGCGGAGGAGCGGCGAAGGCGGTGGAAAGCTGCAGGTCGGGGACTCAATCGAAGCGTACGGCCAGCATGGCCACTGGAGAATGGCAACCGTCACAGAGGTCCCTGCGTCGCAGTGTGTCCGGGCTCGTGACAATTCTGACCTGCATGAGGAGCTTGTTCCACTGCGACGAACGCGCCTTGCGAGGTCCATTGCGATCTTCGGGAAAGCTGAAAACCGCTTGGCCGCTGCGATACGTGTTGCATCTTTATTTGAGGACGTGTCTGCTGGATCGCTTTTGTGCCTTCAGAACAACCCTTCCTTGCAAGGCAAGCTCGTCGGAGTCATGTCTGAGAAACTTTCGGTGCGACCAGATGTGATGTGGAGACTGGACAAAAGCCCATATCTTACAAGTATCAGGGCAGCGACGCGATGCAGCATCATGTTCTTCAGTGGCCCTGCCGCAGACAGTGCAACTCCTGCATCTAAGTCGAAGATTAAGTCAGTTCCCCACGTTCTTGTGGCTGGTAGTCTGGAAGAGCGGTGGAAAGGTCTCCAGATGGTGAAGACAATCGCAGCAGGCATGCACGAACGCAGACATCCGGCCTTGCCACGTTCGCTAGTCGGCGATGCTCGCAAAGTAAGAATTCCGAAGGACATGTTGTCTGTGGTAGTGGGGAAGAATATGAGTGCCATGATGGAAATGATGCGTTCAACGGTCACAGTCATTCTGCCGCTCAAAGAAAACAACGACAAGGAAATGGAGCTCTTGGATAACCTTGTTCTGGAAGGCGCAGAAACGAAGAGCTGTGACATTGCAATCCTGGGCGAACCTCTTGCAAGAGCAATCGCAGAGCTGAAAATCCGAGCTTTGGTTGAGAAGCACATTCCTGGATATGCGGAGCAGGACTATGCAGCCCAAACTGCAAGTGTGCACCAGAGCAGCTCGAAATTGCTTGGTGCATTCATCAGTGTTTAGACCTTGCGTTGCATGCCGATACTTGCAGTGCACGCGAAGAAGCAGCGCGCAGGACGATGCCGGCATGGAGGTCTGCTCGCATGGCAAGAGCAGCACTCAGAGTGTGCGTTTGAGACAGCTGGGTTCGTGTGTTTCCATCAGGTGGATGCCGGGCTTGGTGTTGAGCAGCTCTCGCTCGAAACGGAGTTGGAGCAGATGGATGCTCGCATGTAATTCGTGTAGCCGCGATCTTTGTGGCATGGTAGACGAACTTGAAACTTGTGGTGGTGGCCATATTTGCTAGAGCGAATCGAAACCTGATGTTTGGGCCGAGGAAGACAGCACGCAGATTGGCAAGCAGCTGCCAGTCTGCAGTTCATGACCAAGCTCTGGAACTCAGCTGCTGCAAAGCCCGAGGCTTGCCGGTGCTTCTGGCTGCTGTGTTGAAGTTGCCGCCAGCCGCGCTTTCTTCGCCGGTAGCAAGAAGCATCGAGATCGATGTAGGGAGTACCTTTCCTGGGCTGCCTGGCTTCTGAATTCTGGGTGATGCAGAGCCAGCAGAGAACATCATACAACATAATATTCATAATCGGCCGGTACAAAGTGGACAGCTAAACCTAAATTCACGATGATGCAGTGGCGGCGGCGCGGCGGCGGCGGCAGCAGCAGCAGCAGCAGCACCAGAGAGAGAGAGAGAGATTACAAGTGAGGAAGGGCCCACAAAGACGTTTCACAAGCCAACCCTCAGGACTGCCTGTGAAGAGGGGGCGTAAGACTAACACCCAGGGCCCAGGGCTACCCCCGCTAACAAACAGGCAGTCGTGGTATGCACTGCGGGAGGTGTTGGGGGCTAACAGCGGGGTGGCCCATGAGCCGCATAACGGGCCCGAGCGAGGAAGGTAGAGGCGATGAGTGAGGGTTAGGGGGAGGGTTGAACGGTGGTCTTTGGGGGGAGGGGGCAGTTGCGTGGAGGGAGTTCCAGGGTTTTGGTGGATGAGGAGGTTGACTTTGGACAAGTGATCGAAGAGCGGGGTGATAATTTGGGGTTCAAAATTGGGGTTCAAAATTGGGGTGAAAAAATGGCAGGGGGACAACGCTCGTAGGGGCCGACTAGCGCAAGCGGCCGGGTGCAGTTCCAGAGTTGTGCAGACCGGGGCGCGCCTAGGCGCGGGTCCGCCCCAAGCCCCAAAGAAAGACTAAGAGTAAGAGCGGGAGTGGAAGCGGGAGAGAGAGAGAGATAAAGAAAAAATGCGGGGTGAAACTTGGGATCGTAGTTCGCCGACCGCACCGCAAGCCGGGGCGCGTGTTGTGCGCCGGGCCTTTGGGTCTGAAGTCCCTCAGAGAAAGAAAGAGAGAGGGGGCTTGTTCTTTCGGGCCCTACGAAAGAAAGAACAAACGAAAGAGAGCGAGAGAAAATTGGGTTATACTCGCTGCAAGCAAGCAAGCTAGCCTGAATCGCTAAACCACCCTCTGCAATGGCAGGGCCCGGGACATTGGACATGTGCTTGGATTAGCTCCGTACACACAGTGCTCACGAGGCCCCGGGCAGGCGTGGCACCGATGGTGCTTCGGTGTTGTTGGTGAGCCTCTTCTGAGAAATCCCACAGCGCAAGACGCAAATGGGGCTCCGGGGCAGGGTTCGGCGAGCCCGCGCGCCATGGGCCTGCCAAAGCCTCAAGCCATGCAGTTCGAACAGCAGCAGCAGCAGCAGCAGCAGCAGCAGCAGCAGCAGCAGCAGCAGCAGCAAAAAGAAGGGACCACGTCAGCGCAGACACCAAATCTCCTGCACATCATTTCCGTGACTTGTGCATGCTTTCGTTCCGTCCGTGCACCTTAGACTTCGACGCGTGTAGATTACAGGAATACATACATCACTTCCAACCTGTCACCGAGGTGAACGCTTCTTTACACTCTCGCATCCGTGGCCTGAGCAGAAGAAGTGACGTGACTGTGAGGACAAAGGCCTTGGCACCTGTTGCACTGCGAGTCTCGTGCCCCTCCTACACCAAGCACGAAACTTTGAGACTTGGCTTGGTTTGCCTTGTTCAGGTGCCTTCGGGCATTGCAGAGTTGCCGTGGCTTCAGAGGAAGCTGGCGAAGCTGGCAGTGGACTGTAGCGCCATCGTGCCTTGAGTCCAAATATGACCTTCTAGTTGCCAGAGTGTGTTTCTGGATTCGCCTCTGCAGAATGTACGTAAGGGTGAGGCAGAGGCCCCACTGTTGCATCATGTTGCATCTTTCGGTCTTGTAGGCTCTAAGCAGACACGCTCTAGGAAGTTGCGAAACGTTAAGGCTTTCTTCGATGTGGAGAGTGAAGAACAAGGCCACCAGTGGCCAAAGGATCCCAAGTACTTTCCAAGTACTTCCCAAGTACTTCCCAAGTGCCACAGTTGGTGCGAGTTTGTGCAACATTGGCCAGGCAAGGCAACGAGGCGCCTGATCTTTGCTGGAAGTGCTCTGGCAGAGCGTCCTCGCCACTTCCCTAAAGTTCAACACATCTCAGTACCTTGAACATTCCGACATTGACGTTCAGGTCTGGCTCGGACGCTGTGTGCAGAATCGAACATCTTCATCGACAAAGCGACTTTTTACAAGGAAGGGCCAAGTGAACGTCGTTGGTCGCAAGGCTTGTTTCTCGGCACGGGGGCTCTGGCTGCGCAGGAGAAGGACTGGTCGCTGGAGGAATGCAACGAGGCAAGCGTAGCACTTTGCCAAGTTGATGTGCTCCCTCCTCGACCTCGGCTGTAAGCAGATTCTGGTCAAAAAGGCAGAAGAAAAGGAGAAGATGGATCTGAGAGAAGAAAAGAAGGCCAAGCACTAGCGCTGCATCTGCAAAGCCGCAGGTGGAATCACTTTACAGGCTGAAGTTGCGTTGCTGTACCCTTTTGCCTGCTCTCAGGCAGTGTTTGGGTGTCTCGTCGAGGCCGGTTTGCTGAAAAATCGTGGGCTCGCCATGAAAACTGTATGAGTTGGTGCTACAGATCTGTCTAAGTTGACTGCCGGCTCAAGGAGATGTGCAAGTGTTCGAGTGTGTCATCGGTGACACACCACTCCTGACGAGTCTTTTCAGCCTTGGCATGTGCAGTGCAGTGCAGCCTTCACTCCAGGGCCAAGGCAAGGGCGGAGACACCAAAGGAGGTGGCAAAGCAGAAGGCAAAGGTAAAGCTTCCAACAACGACCAGGACTCTCATGGACTCAACAGTTTTAGCCAGGTCCCGAAGCATGTCCTCGGACCTTTGCCGCAGGAGGGGCAGGCAGAAGCGGCCAGTGGCGACAAAGACGCACAGGACAATGCGTGGCGACAGTGCACCCACATGCTATACTGGAACATGACATGGCGCCTGTGTCAGATGATTATATCTTCTGGAACCGACGTTTGGGTTCAATGGTCCAGCACAACTCCCGTCTAAGGTCGCGCAACGCCCACTCGTTCTGGGCCCCGAAACCCTACAAGCTGTTCCCGAAAATAGACGAGAGTCTGGAAAAATGGAAGGTAGGTCGACCACAGAAGCACCCAAGCTGGAACACTCCAGTTTCCCCCCCACCCACCGTGACCGCCCTTCGTTGTGGCCGTGCTTTTTCAGCCGGCAGCAGGTTGAGGTGCGCAGCCTGTTCTCAGCCACCGGCGCCTTTTACTAAAGTTACTAAGATCCAGCAGCCAGTAATCATTAGCTTCTTGGTGATTTTGTTTCATATTCCCTTTCGAAACTTTCTTGTAAACCTTTCACATAGATCCTTGCAGTTCACTGCTGGAAGTTCTCGGACTTGTTTGAAATGAAGTGTCGTGGAAATCTGCTGACCGCCTTCCCCACGTATATCAAGTACTCTGCAGGACGCATCAGATGCGCAAGTCGCTGAACAAAAGGGCCGCAAGGGCAAAGGCAAAAACAGAGGCGAGGACGGCGGCAAGGGCAAGAGCAAAGGCCAGAGCAAAGGCCACATGCCCAGTCAATTGTGTATGATGTGCAGATTTGTGGACAATTTGCTGATAAGATGAGGTTTTGGGAAGTGGAAGAGAGGGGGAAACTGTTCATTGCAGGAGGGGGGGGGGTGCAGGTGGCAATCGGCTTCAGCCCCTAAAGCCTAGCAACAAAAAGTTTTAGGAGTTTGTGGAAGCACCGAAAGTGGGGCATTTTTCAGTCTGCTTTGTGGCTACTCGCTGAAGCTGCTTCAGGCACAGGTATCACTGGGTGGGGGGGGGGGACAAGCATGGCCGGCGTGGCCCCTAACCCAAAGACAATGGAACTACTCGTTGCTGACATGAAGTAAGCAGTTTCACATACTCAAGTACCGACAATCGAGGGCCCGAGTTAAAAGGATTCAATTTAAGTTGGCTCCAGCTGTTCTGAAGTTCCGGCCGCAAGAGTGCAGCGCTTGCAGACAGCAACACGAGCGGAGAGTCAAGAAGTGGAGTTGATGGTTTCGGACGACATGATTGTGAGACAACCGATCCACCTTTGCGGAAGTCTGTGCTCGTTTTACGAGTACCATTCAAAACAACAGGGCAGGTCAAGGAACGGAACTCCTGCGGCAAAAGGTCGTCACAAGTACTGTCAAGCTACCACGACATTGGCTTGTCAGACCACTTGGTCATGCTGGTCTCACAATGCACAATGCCGTGCAAAGTGCTGTGTTGTGTTGAGGTAAAATCGTTTTCGTTTCTGGGGGGCCACAACGCAAGGAGGCTGCGTCTCTAGGATGCATTTCCGAGCTCGGGCTTCCAGAGCGTTGCGTGACGCCAACTCATCTTGTGCATGCAGAGAGCTGAGGCCACCAATTGCTGATGCTGTCCAATCAGAGGATCTACCAGCGATGGCCGATTCCGATGTCATCGAAGACTCAAAAATGACACCGAAAGTTGCACTTGCTCAGCCGAGCACACCCGCATTCAACAGTGCAGCCAGAGCCATCGGAACGAGTGTGACGCAGGTCAGTGGTGCCGGTGGACGTGCTGCACGACAAGACCAGAAACCACGCGGCTCACCGCCACCTGCCAGTGCTGCTGTTGCAAGTCCTGGTAAGGCGTTCGCATTAGCGCCAGCCATTCCTGCAACAGACGAACGTGTCCCAGATCCCAGAACCCCCGCGCCAGGATCGGCGCGCGAGGCTGTTGCCCCGCCAAGAACACCAGGGCTGCCTGGGTCTCAGCGGATCGCTCCACCACGAACCCCAGCATTGTCTGGAGTCGCTCCACCTGCGCGGTCTGCAGCTATTGCCCCACCAAAGACCCCAGCCGTGCCTGGCGCGTCCATTCCGCCGCCCAGTACCCCGGCACCAGGTGTGGCACGCACAGCTGTGGCTCCACCGAGAACACCTGCGGGGCCTACGACCCATGCCCGTGGCGAGCCTGTAGCTGCACCGAAAACGCCGGCGCTGCCTGGTCCTGGTCCGCGCGTCGAAGCTGTGGCCCCACCGAAAACACCAGCAGTGCCGGGTGCACGTGTGGAGTCCGTTCCGTTGCCGAGGACGCCAGCATTTCCTGGATCTCATGTGGCACCACCGAAAACACCGGCCGTCCCAGCTACAACACCTCAAGCTGCAAGAAGCATGGTTCCTGGACCACAGACCCCGCATCCATGTCGGGCAGCTGCAAGCTCCCCAGCACCACCGCAAACACCAGCGGCACGGGTGCGGACACCGCCCCCTCAAACAGGCAGCATACCGTTACCCCATACCCCAGCCGGCCCCGCATCCACGACAGCTGGCAAAGCGAGACTTGGAAAAACTATGGCGGCCATTAGACTTTGTTGGATTGATGTTGCATGGCAGGTTCTGTAATATGATTATCGTTCTATTGGGTACTGGAGCAGATCTCCAAGAATCGGATTTTCAAGGCAACAGCTTCATAGGTATGCCTTGTCAACAATCACTGCGCTGTGCCTCAGGATGTACTCAGCAGCTGGCCTCGTCAAGCCAACGCCAAAGTCATCACTTGCTGCACAAGCGCCGGCATCCGACCAGAATGTGCCCGATGCCGAGCTGATTGTGCCCATCACGCCGGCACGCGCAATGTCTTCCAGCACTATGGCGCCTAAGACCCCAGCAGCCATAAGCACCAGAAGAGATACGACTGACACAAGCACCCCTGCGCCACAAACACCTGCTGCCTTGAAGGGGCCCACACCTGCTAGACCTGCGCTACAGCCCAAACCGAAAGCTTCTCAAACTCGAAGTTCTGCTTCATCCCGAGTCACTACTGCTGTGGCACCACAAACACCACCAGAATTGACGAGAGCTCTTGCAGCGGGAGAGTCAGGTACAGGAACCAAGGACAAGCCACCAGTTCCTATGACACCAGCAACCATGAAGACAAGCTCGAAGCAGCCACTGCAAGAACTCGAACCTTTGCCGAACCTTGTTTGCACCTGAAGAGTACTTTTGTCTGCTGTTAGACCTCTAGGGGCACTGAGACCACGCGCAACGGTTAAGGTTGAGGTTTGCGCCGAGGCGTGGCTCCACTACAAAGGGCGTGGTGAAACAGACCAAAATCAGATCATGATATAATTCAAAGTCTGGGGGGGGGGGGGGCCCGCTGCTGCCGCGATAAGAATAGACAAATACAGAAGATATTCGCCGAATTGACCCCTGAGGATATACGATAATATCTTTATATATATATACATATGAATACATTATATATAGTTATTTATTTATTTATGTATATATAAATCCCCCTTTATGAGCCTTGACTTGGCACCCTCCGATTAGTAATTCTCGTGGTTGACGAAGCCTACACGTGAGAGAGCCACATAAAATTGATTTTGATCATGGACGACTATATACGAACCAAGAATATATTGGATTTCCGAATAATCACAATATGAAAAGATGTCTCCACTCATAAGTAGTGTAAGCGGCTTCTGCGTTCAAAAACACCAATTAGAAATCTACGAGGATTTCACTTTCTTGATCACGAGAAATTTAAGATTCTGAAAATACGAATAAAATATCGTCTAGATAGAATTCAACTAGATTTCGGAATTAAGAGATTTATATTTATATTCAATCTTACAATTTTCCTAATCCAAAGCTACGAATATAACTAACGAAATTCAGGATTCTATACACTCTCATAGGAAAAGACCCGCCACCACTTTGAATTATGGGAAGAAATAGAGCTTAGGGAACAAAGTCATCAAAAAGGAACTCTTCTAGACCTTATCATTAATCTCAGATCGCCGGGCGCTACTATATAACTAATGGTGTATGCGATGAAATGGAATCATCTACGCGGGGGGGGGGGGGGGGGTTTGGTATTAGCGAACACAGAGATTCAAGAAAATTTCTATCATATTCGGCCCTTCTATATTCCCGAATGGGTCAGGATTAATCTTATATATGGAAGGATATGAATATTCTTCTCAATTTACATGAATTTTCAAATATCTAGAGAATACGCATATCTATTAGATTTAATGGAATTATTATCATGATTGTTCGGTTTAGATTCAATCATAGAAAGGACTTTCAAGATTTATGTTCGAAATTCCCTTTCCGACACGTAAGATGTATATTTATATCCCTATAAAAGGCTACGGGCTCGACCCCTATTTTCGCTCTGCGGCCGCCCTGTCGGATGCCCCGCCTCCTCTTCCGGTCGATTTGGCTGCTTGTGAGGGCCTTGCAGGGGGATCCTGAAAATTCCGGGAATTTTAACGCTTATTGTCTAAAACTCCTGGGAATTTTGGGCATCACCCGGAGCTGAAAATTCCCGGAATTTTAGGAATCATCCGGATTGAGGTTTAGGCTTTCCTTGGGCTGTCACGGCGTTGTCCGCTTGGTTCGCTTGGGCGGTTTTGGGGCTGTCACGGTGTTGTCCGCTTGGTCGGTTTTGGGCTGTCACGGCGTTGTCCGCTTGGTCCGCTTGGGCGGTTTTGGGCTGTCACGGTGCTGTCCGCTTGGTCGGTTTTGGGCTGTCACGGTGTTGTCCGCTTGGGCGGTTTTGGGCTGTCACAGTGCTGTCCGCTTGGTCGGTTTTGGGCGTTCACGGTGTTGTCCGCTTGGTCCGCTTGGGCGGTTTTGGGCTGTCACGGTGCTGTCCGCTTGGTCGGTTTTCGGCTGTCACGGTGTTGTCCGCTTGGGCGGTTTTGGGCTGTCACAGTGCTGTCCGCTTGGTCGGTTTTGGGCGTTCACGGTGTTGTCCGCTTGGTCCGCTTGGGTGGTTTTGGGCTGTCACGGTGCTGTCCGCTTGGTCGGTTTTCGGCTGTCATGGTGTTGTCCGCTTGGGCGGTTTTGGGCTGTCACGGAGTTGTCCGCTTGGTCGGTTTTGGGCTGTCATGGTGTTGTCCGCTTGGTCCGCTTGGGCGGTTTTGGGCTGTCACGGTGTTGTCCGCTTGGGCGGTTTTGGGTTGTCACGGTGCTGTCCGCTTGGTCGGTTTTGGGCCGTCATGGTGTTGTCCGTTTGTTTTGGGTTGTCACGCTGTTGTCTGTTTGGTCGGATGTTCGTCGTCACGGTGTTGTCCGCTTGGGCGGTTTTGGGCTGTCACGGTGTTGTCTGCTTGGTCGGTTTTGGGTTGTTATGGTGTTGTCCGCTTGGTCTGCTTTGGTGGTTTTGGGTTGTCATGGTGTTGTCTGTTTGGTCGGTTTTGGGTTGTTGTGGTATTGTCCGTTTGGTCCGCTTGGGTGGTTTTGGGTTGTCATGGTGTTGTCCGCTTGGTCGGTTTTGGGCCGTCACGGCGCTTGGTCGGTTTTGGGTTGTCACGGTGTTGTCCGCTTGGTCCTACGGGCTCGACCCCTATTTTCGCTCTGCGGCCGCCTTGTCGGATGCCCCGCCTCTTCTTCCGGTCGATTTGGCTGCTTGTGAGGGCCTTGCAGGGGGATCCTGAAAATTCCGGGAATTTTAACGCTTGTTGTCTAAAAATCCTGGGAATTTTGGGAATCACCCGGAGTTGAAAATTCCCGGAATTTTAGGAATCATCCGGATTGAGGTTTAGGCTTTCCTTGGGCTGTCGCGGCGTTGTCCGCTTGGTCTGCTTGGGCGGTTTTGGGCTGTCACGGTGTTGTCTGCTTGGTCGGTTTTGGGCTGTCACGGCGTTGTCTGCTTGGTCCGCTTGGGCGGTTTTGGGTTGTCACGGTGCTGTCCGCTTGGTCGGTTTTGGGCTGTCACGGTGTGGTCCGCTTGGTCGGTTTTGTGCTGTCACGGTGCTGTGCGCTTGGTCGATTTTGGGCGTTCACGGTGTTGTCCGCTTGGTCCGCTTGGGCGGTTTTGGGCGTTTTGGGCTCTCATGGTGTTGTCTGCTTGGTCGGTTTTGGGTTGTCACGGTGTTGTCCGCTTGGTCCGCTTGGGCGATTTTGGGTTGTCAGGGTGTTGTCTGCTTGGTCGGTTTTGAGTTGTCATAGTGTTGTCCGCTTGGTCTGCTTGGGTGGTTTTGGGTTGTCATGGTATTGTCTGCTTGGTCGGTTTTGGGTTGTCATAGTGTTGTCCGCTTGGTCCGCTTGGGTGGTTTTGGGTTGTCATGGTGTTGTCTGTTTGGTCGGTTTTGGGTTGTCATAGTGTTATCTGCTTGGTCCGCCTGGGTTGTCACGGCTTGGGCGATTTTGGATTGTCATGGTGTTGTCCGCTTAGTCTGTATGGGCGATTTTGGGTTGTTATGGTGTTGTCTGCTTGGTCGGGTTTGGGTTGAGGATTTATTCTGATCTTTGGACCATAATTTCCATCTGTTTTTTTCTCGATGTCCCCTAATTTCTTTTAGAG